CTGAGGCGCCGGCCTCATTTTCGGGCCCCGCTCGTTCCGAATCGTGCTCCCGCTGCAGCGCTGGCCTCATTTCCGTGCTTCCGTTCGTTCCGAATCGTGCTCCCGCTGCAGCGCTGGCCTCATTTCCGCGCTTCCGCTCGTTTCGACTCGTGCTCCCGCTGCAGCGCTGGCGTCATTTCCCGTGCCATGCCACGGCATGCAAAACAATGCCAGGTTGATACTACGCTTTGCGGTGTTCTTCTACGCCATGCCATGCCGTGCTCTACAATGCATCGCGTACCCTTTCGGGATCACTGTCCTGCTCGACATCCGACTGTGCGAGTATAGAGGGGATCTGAGCCATGGTAAGGGATGGGAGGGAGGGGTAGGATGTCATATATGACGCGCGCGCACCTAGCTTGTCCTCCTCCCCCTCCCCCTCCCCCTCCCCCTCGCCATCCTTCTCCTCCTCCTCCTCCTCCTCCTTCTCCTCCTCCTCCTCCTCCTTCTCCTTGGTCTGTCCGCCCTCCTCCGCCGCTCTTCCCGTCCAGCAGGAGCAGCAGGAGGGGGAAGACGGGGCTGGCAGCACCCCATCTGGGCAGTGGCACTCTGCCCTGGCGTCTCTTGACCACCCCGCCCCCGACCGCGCTGGCTCGCAGCAGGCGGGGCAGTCTCCCGCCGGCGGCACGGCGTCCACGGCCCCGCGCCGCTCCCGCAGCTGGGAGAAAACGAGGGTGCGGCGCCTCGGGCGGAGGAAGGGGGAAGGGCAAGGAGGGGGGAGGACGGATGAGGGGAAGGAGGAGGAGGGAGGAGGAGGAGGAGGAGGAGGAGGAGGAGGAGGAGGAGGAGGAGGAGGAGGAGGAGGAAGAGGAGTAGGAGGAGAAGGGAGGAGGGAGGAGGAGGGAGGGGGAGGGAGGAGGACGAGGAGGGGGGGGAGGAGGACCAGGAGGAGGACCAGGAGGAGAAGGGGGACGTCGACGACGAGGCCGAGGACAAGGACTAGGAGCAGGGCAGAGGAAGAGGAGGGCGGAGGAGGCAGAGCAGGCGGAGGAGGCTGGACAGGGGGGTGGGGGGAAGGAGGAGGAGGAGGAGGAGGAGGAGGAGGAGGAGGAGGAGGAGACGAGCGTAGAGGAGGCAACGTCGTTACCAACAACCGCTAGAGACCCCGTGGCCTCCTGCCCCTCTCGACGTCGCGCTTGCTGGCAGTGTCAGCAGCGGCGACGGAGGATGCGCGCGCAGCGGCCGCGGCGGCAGACAACGCGGACGAGCTGAAGGAGGTGTACGGATGGCGGGGGGAAGAGTGGCGGGACGCACAAGAGCGGAGAGTCGCACCGTCAATCGAGGCAACATGAGGAGAGGGAGCGGGAGGGGGGCACGTAGCGGCAGAGGCAATAATCGCGAGCGAAGGACCAGGAGGAGGAGGAGGAGGAGGACCAGAGTAAACCCAAGACGTATCATCGATGTTGCAATACACTCTCCCTCCACATTTCCTCTTGTCGCTAAAAAACTTCTGTCGTTGCGGGAGGTGCCCTATTGGAAGTCAACCGTCTGAGAATCTCCAACCGTGCCAGAACATCTTCCTGTGATTTCAACACCGCGGATCAAAGTGAATGTTGCGCCCTGGCAGTCCTGGCCGTACCAAACAACATTCCTGGGACTCGGGCACCACGAATCAATGTAAGTGTTGCGCCCTGGTATTCCCATATCGTGCCAAAAGACGATGCTGGCGAGAGCCACAGTTGAAAACGTTTGAAAACCAACCGCCATCCATCATTGAACATGTTGCAAACATTTAAAATAAAACGAATGCGCGCGGCGCTCGGGCGGGAGCCACACTTTGAAAACGACCCGCCTTCAATTCTTAAATGGGGTGCAGACTTGAACACATTATGTGAGCGGCCGTGAGGCGAGAGGCACAGCTTGAAAAGCGGCCATCCTTCCACCCTGGAAGCGAGGCACAGTTCGACAAGGAGCGGCCCTCCATTCTCGAACACGTTGCACAGATTTAAAACGAATGTACGTGGCGCTAGGGCGAGAGACACATTTTGAAAACCACCTGCTTTCCATCTTTGAAATCTTTTCGAACTTGTACTCCGAATGTGCGCGGCGCTAAGGCGAGAACAACACTTTGAAAACCACCCGTTTGCATCCTTGGAGCCCTTTCGAACTTGTACTCCGAACGTGCGCGGCGCTAGGGCCAAAGCCACATAAAAAAACAGCCCCTCTTCAAGCCTTGAATCTGTTGCAAATTTCGAGGTTCAGGATCCTACATGGTGGGGGAGTCTCCAACGAAACGCCCGGCCCACCGTACCGACACTCTGGGGCTTGCGACAGGGAGGAGGCTTGCCTAAGGGGCTTGAATTGGTTAAAGATTGGTGCCTCGGGAGCTTACTTTGCCCGTTCCTCGGAGGCTCCCCGGGTTCCCCGCGTGCCTCATGCCAAGGTTCTTCCCCGGGTTCCCCAGGCGCCCCATGCCGAGCAAGGCCAAGCAGTGCGCCCGTGCAATAGGAAGACCTCTCCTGGTTGGGGTCGCGCCGGGTTCTTGTCTCAGGGAAAGGGACGGAGGAGGAAGAGGAGGAGGAGCAGGAGCAGAAGGAGGAAAAGAAGAGAGCGGGGGTACGGCGCCGGAGATGCGGAGCGATGCCGCTGCCCAGGCGCCCCCAGAAGCGGTCCACCTCGGGGCCCCAGTGCCCGCTGCCGGCCACCACAGGCGGGAGACGGGTGGCCACCCGGGCCTCGAAGAGCGCGCGCCGACGCCGTCGAGGACTGGAAGGTCATCCCTCCCCCACCTGCAGCGTTGGTAGCACGAGGGGATCCGACGGGGACGGGGGAAGCTCAGGGCGAAAACAAGGACCTGGCCTCGGCGAGGAAAGCGCCGATGTAGAGCGGCGATGGGCCCCCGAAACGACAAGGAAGACCGCACGTTCCTGGGGAGGCTGGGGCACCCCGGCCCCGACCAGCACCGAGTGGACGGCTCGGGGGCGACGCTCCTCCCCCTGAGCCGGTCCACCCCTGCCGCTGCCCCTGCTGAACAGAAAGCTAGGCCATGCCCACCAGGGACAGGACCTCCGCCCTGGACCTGTTCGCGAAGCGCCGCGCGAGGAGCCGCTCGGTGGCGCGACCGGTGCCTGGGGAGTTTCTGCTTTGCATGCCTGTCTCTCCTCTTGAAACATGCCTTCTCGGCCGATGGGTGTCTGGGCGGCTGGATGTAGGGGTCTCGAAGCGACTCCCAGGAGCCCTCGTGAGGGTCTAGCAGAAGTTCCAGTGCGCACTCGCAGAGCTCGCGCGACCTGCAACCTGCGAGCACCGGGTGGATGGGCGCGCCCACTGTACGATCTTCTTGGCGCGCCCTCTGCAAGCCGAGGCACATTCAAACCAATGCGCGGACTTCCAGGCCAGAAACGGCCCTCACGAGGACGCCGCAATATGTTGGCACCTAATGTGGATGGGGCACACAATGTTGTCTGAGATGCTGGGGGCCTGGCAGGCTCTCATGGAAGCCCTCGGATGTGCGCTGGGGTCGCGCGCCCAAAGCTCAAGCCGCATGTCTCCTCCTCCTCCTCCTTCTCTTCCTCCTCCTCCTCCTCCTCCTCCTCCTCCTCCTCCTCCCCCTCCTCCTCCTCCTCCTCCTCCGCCTCCTTCTCCTCCTCCTCCTCCTCTTCCTCCTTCGCCTCCTCCTCCTCATCCTCCTCCTTCTCCTCCTCCCTCTTCCTCCTCAAGCCATTTCGGCCCGAGCATTTTGCACGGGCCTCTCCTGTACCTTAGCGAGGTGCTTGAGTACCTTCTCCCTGCCTACTGCCCACAGGCAGGGGGACGACGAAAGCAGGAGTTCAGCCATGACGGTTTTGCGCCCATGGAGTCATTGTGCGCACTGCAAGCGCCCTGAGTACAACGATAAGCTGATGAAGAATAACTGCCAGTGCGGCCACTGCGGGAAGAAGGTTCGGTTGTTCCGCCCCAGGTCGGCTTCGCCAGCTGGCAGCAACAAGAGCGTATCGTTCGACATGGAACCTGTGCTCATCGGCGGGGGCGCGGGAGCAGGTTCGGCTGGTGATGCCCCTCGCTCCCGCGGTGCCCGCAAAGCGGCTGCCAAGGAGAAGGCCAAGCAGAAGCAACTGGCCGAACTCTTGGACCAGGCCATCGAGGCCGCCGACAACGATGAGATGAAGCAGGCGCTGCAGCATCAGAGTCAGCAGCTGGCGGTGCGCAGCACGGCCGAGGCCGCCAAGTCTGAGGCGGACGTGGTTCGCCAGGCGGACGGGGCGTGGCGTGCAGCGTCGCACCGCCACGAGCAGCTCGTGACGCAGGTCTTGCGCTTGCGGTCGCAGCTGCAGAACGCGGAGCAGAAGGAGCAGGCCGCTGCGCTCGAGCTGGCCAGGGCGGAGGATGCCAAGAGGAAGGCAGCCCAGGCCTTGGCTCGAGCAGAGGGCCTGCACACAGCAGTCTCCAAGGAGGCCAAGGGCGGCATCGACAAGGCGGGCAAGGGCGACCCCGCCTTCGAGGTGCGCATCAACAGCGAGGTTTTCGACAAGTTCGAGGATTGGGAGTGCGAGGAGACGGACAAGCAGCTGCTGAGGAAGCTGAAGGCGCAATTGCAGCAGTATCAGTCGGAGTTCGAGAGTAAGGAGAGCGGGCTCAAAGCGTTTTTGGAGCGCGTGGCGAAGGTGGAGGCCGAAGTCACGGACCGCATGAAGAAGAAGCAGGAGGTCGACGGCAAAGGGGACGACGGCAAGCCAGGGGACGGCGAGCCCAAGGAGGCCCAGGAGTCCAAGGTCGACCAGGGCGACGAGGCCAGCCCGACCCCTGACGTCGCCGACAAGATGAAGAAGGAGGCTGCCAGGCTGTCCGCGGCACGCTTCGCTGCTGCTCAGGCCGTGTCACGCGGGGAGCCCCCTTCTGGTGCTCCCCCCAGCGGAGGCCCTTCGGGTGGCACCGCTCGCGATGGCTGCCCCTCGGGAGGCGGAGTCGCGGCGAGCGCAGCAGGCAGCGACGCCGAGCTTTGACTAGGCTCGGAGGCCACGGGGCCCACGGCAGCGCAGTCTGCTACACCTACCAGTACAAGCTCGGCTACTTCAGCGTCACCACCTTCGGAGGGTACGAAGACTGGGGCTACAACTCGAGTCTTTTGTGGGAATGTGACCTGCATGGGGGACAAGGCATGGGAGTACTTGTGCAATCAAACGCAGTCACGCGACTACCTGGCGGTGGTGGAATCTCATGTTCGGTGCCAACGGTGCAAGGCCTAAGTCGAGGTGGGCTTGCTCTTCCCAGGAGGAGCGGGCCAACGAGGGAGGAGAGTGGTTCCTGGCCAAGAACCACAGACCCGCTCAAGTTCTGGACGCTGCCAGAGCGGCCAATGGACTTCGAGCGGAACGCGGCGGCATGTTCGACGGTTTCCTGCCCATGCAGCTTCACATGAGAGGCTTCAATCTAGTGCTGTGCATTGTTTATGGCCACTCTGGAGTTGGTTTCGGGCAGGCTAAGTCAGTGCGCTTTCGTAAGCTTGGAAGCCTCTTGGCCACACTACAGTTGCCTTGGATTGCCATAGGAGGTTGGAATTTGTCCCCTCCTGATATGGCCCGCATTTTTTTTTTTGGGAAATGATCGGGGGAGCCATTCTTCGGTCGAATTTAGAGTACACGTGCACACCTGCCAATAGTGAGCACAAGCCTCCGCATCTTGATTACGTGATTTGCTCAGAAGCGGCAAAACCATACATTCGCAGTCTGAGTACAATCGTCGATGTACCCTGGAAGCCCCATGTAGGTTTGTCTCTTGAGCTGACTGCCCAGGGGCCCCAGCTTTACACGAGATAGTTGGATCTTCCTGCACGCCTGCCGTCTGCCCCCAGACCTCATAAGCAGCCTGTCGATGGGGTCTAAGAGTAGCATTGCCAAAGCTCAGCGTAGGATTTGCAAGCAAGCTGCAATGGGAACGTAGGCATGACAAATTTCGTGAATGGTTCCCTGCACCCGTCAAGCAGAATGAGCATGAGTTAGAGAGTGGCACGGTCGTGTCGTCCCCGCCCCAGACCGTCGCTAGCGAAGCCGAGGCAGGTATCGGCGACGCTGATGATGGTGATTTCCTGGGCTTCGAATCGGAGGACGAGGACCCGTGGGCCAACGAGCTCAACTTCGGTTTCGACCCGCCGCCTGCGCTTGCTGCCTCCTCTGGCTTGCCTCAGTCGGACAGTCAAGCGAGGAGCCCTGAACCCACTAGCCCCGTTTCGAAGCCCTGGGAGCATCCGTCATCGGCGTCAGCTATGGGTTCGTTTTTCAAGCGAGCAGCCTGGCCCCGAGGGTATTGAGCCATCGAGTTTGGTCAAGCCTGCGTTGCCCCGAAATGTTGTGCCCTATGCCGTGGAAGAGAGCCCCTGGAAGCAACAAAGGAATGCCGGCGGCTTCGTCGCTTCGGGGGAGCACCCCCCGATGATGCGGCTGCTGTCTCCGTAGCCTTTCGGGTTGGCTCCAGCCACTGTGACTTCATCAGCGGCTTGTGCGCTGGCTGGGCTCGGACCCTTGAGAGTTCCATATCGACGCTTCACTCTCAGCCTGTGCATGGTCGCGACCTTGGTCACGATCTTGGTCTCGTCCTCGTACACGCCCGCGGTCTTGGACGCGAACTTGGTCGTGACCGAGACCTTGGCCTTGGACAGGGTCGCGACATAGCCCTTGGCCGTGTACTTGACCGTGACCCAGGCCATGACCGGGCGCTCGCGCAAGGCCCGGAACTTGGACTTGACCAGGGCCTCGACCGAGACCGTGATCGTGTCCTGGGACGTGTCCATGGACAGGTCCTGGAGCTCGGCCTCGGTCAGGTCCTTGGGCGCACCACGCGCGGATGCCCCCCAGGTTTCGCGCAGGTGTCGTTTTGGAGGCAGCACGGTTGCTTCACACTTGCCCTCGTCGTCGGGCCCGCTGCCATGGGGAGAGGCAGCGGGCCGTTTTGGCGGCAGCGGGCACCAGCTTGCACCAGTCAGCCCCCGAGCAGGGGCATCGAGTTGCACGGCCAGGGTATCATTTCTCTTGGCAGCAGTGGCTTGCTCTTCTTGGCGACCTCCCAGGCTGCTCCGACGAGTTGCTGAAGGCAGGTGTTTCTGTCAGTGAACGGATTGCCAAGCGGAGCCAGGCTAGATCGGTGGATCGGTCAATTTCAGAGTTCAGGGGCTGGGTGGAGACGCAGGTGGCAGCTTCATGTCTGCATAGGTATATCAAATCGCAGCCAGCAGCGCCAGATGTGCTGAAGCTGGAGTCGCCCACCATTCAGCGCCCCAAGGATATTCTAGAGGCCAAGGGTTTGCATTGGCAGAAAGTCTGGAGTCCACCGATGCAGGACGACCTCTCTGAGCTGCACATTTTGTTCGATCATATTCGTGAGCGGGTGCGGAGCGAGAGGTTGCCAGACCTCACGGGCCAGCAGCTGAAGGATGCTGGCAGGTTGCTCAAGCCCAACGCCGCGATGGGCGCCGACAGGCTCACGGCGACGGACTTGGAGCGCCTGCCCCTGGTCGCCCTCGACGGGCTGGCAGTCCTCCTGAACACATGCGAGGTGTTCCAGTGCTGGCCGCACCAGCTCCTGCTGACCATCGGCGCCCTCTTGCCGAAGAAGGTTGCTGGCGACAGGGTCATCGGCCTGCTCCCGCACGTCGCGAGGCTGTGGTCCAAGGCGCGCGAGCCGTGGGTCCAGTGCTGGACCGAGGCTTGCGAGGCGCCGTGGGATGCGGCCATCAAGGGGAACGCCGCCATCCAGGAGGCGTTCCTCAGGGTGGTGGACGAGGAGCTGGCGGTGCGGCTGGGCGCTGCCCACGGCCACGGGCTGCTGGACATCGCCAGCTTCTACGACACGATCGGGTGGTTGCGGCTGGGGCACGCAGCTCTGCGGCTGGGTTTCCCAGCTGAGGTGCTGGGGCTCGAATTGCTCATGTGCATGGCGGCCAGGTGCCTGCACCAGTCGGGCGCATACTCTGAATCCTTTTCTCCGACTCGTTCGATTGTTCAGGGCCTTCGAGCGGGCACCAGGTTCGCCAAGATAGTAACGTTTTTGATCATGCAGCGGATAACATCCACACATTTGGGGTTATCACATCGGTTGTGGGTTGACGATTTGAGTCAAGTTGTTCGTGGTTCTCGTGGTGCAGTGGTACGCATGCTGTCCGCCTGTCTCATTACGACCTTCGAACAGATGCAGCAGCACGGGCTGACCATTGCGACGAAGAGTGTAGTTGTATGCACTAAGCTAGCGGACGCACGTGCTGTCGTGCGCAAGGTCAGGCAGAAGGGGTTTGTCGTGCGCCTGCAGCTCAGGCCTCGTACCTGGGCGGCGACTTTGGCGGGGGTCGAGCTCACGCCCGTGCGTTTCGGCGCGTGCGCGATCAGAAGCACAAGAGCATGCATGCCAAGGTGGCGAGGTTTGCCCGGACTGCACGACGCTACCAGCTCACCTCGCGGCTGGAGCAGCAAGGGGCTCTGGCTGCAGGCTCCTACGCCCATCAGCTCCATGGGGTTTTCGGCCGTCGCATGAGAACGATGAGGTCATATCTGTGTGATGCGGTAGCGCCACGTATGTCGGGCCGCTGCTGCACCACCCTCCTCGACCTGTGCGCGCATGGCCGGGACCCCGCCCTCAAGATGCCGAGGGGGTGCCTGCAGCTGTGGCTGCGATGCTGGACATCGGAGCCCTCCATGCGATCAGGTGTTTCGAGGGCGTGGTCTGGGGTTGTGCAGCAGTTGCGGGACGTCAAGCCTGAGCAGCGGAGCAGGCATATACGGGGGCCCCAGTCTGCAGTTGTGAGTTACTTGCTCCAGGAGGGTTGGAATTCCATCGGCCCAGCTACCTGGCAGCTGCCTGCGTCGGATGATGACAGGTACGATGCATGGGAATTTGATGTTGATAAGCTCACTGGAGTGCGTAATCTCGACGTCCCGTCGTCTTTCCTGAGGGAGTTCGATACCAGGGTCATGGATCGGCTCTGGCGTGAGGCAGCACATCACTTCGACGGCGACGGCATGCAGAACGGAGTGTGCAACTTGTCGTATCGTGTCTTGCTACAGCAACTCAGGGACGGGCCGCAGGGAGCCAAGCTGGCAGGTTTGCTGCTGGCGGCGGCGGCGGGCGCGGCCTGGCCGCGCACCCGACGCTCCGAGAAGGCGAAGCAGAGGCTGTCGCGGCTTTGCGCACGCTGTGGAGACGTTCCTGAGGACAGCTATCACAGGTGCTGGGGGCAGTGCGCGGGGCGGCAGCCTCACCCCATCTACGAGATGACGGACGAGTTGCTCATCTAAGCTCAGGCTCAACACGAGTCAGAGCCATGCTTTTGGCTGCGGGGGCTCATCCCTGCCGACTGGGTACGGGTCAAGCCGCCGCAGCAGAGCGAGGAGTGGCACGTCTACGGCTGCAATGGTTTCGAGCAGGGGGCCCTGGGCTACGGCAGCGAGGAGAGCCCCCTCTTCATCTTCGGGGACGCGAGCGGGGGCAAGGACACGCACGACCCCCGCTTGAGGCGGGCGGGGGTCGGCCTGGCAGCCTTCACGGAGCTCGCTGAGCCCATGCAGATCGCTGCAGCGGTATGGGGTGGTTTGCCTGGCGGCCGCCAGACGGTCGGACGGGGGGAGCTATATGCCCTCTACACGGCCATCCGCGGCGCGGACGGGCATATCAATTATGTGACAGATAATGCGAACGTGTGTGAAGGTTGGCACGCAGGCAAATCACATTATCCCGAGGGCGAGGACGGTGATTTGTGGTATGCCATAGGTCAGCAGTTGCGCGCGCGCCCGTCGTTGCAGGTGTGTGTCATGTTCGTGTTTCCCCATCAGGATGCTAAGGATATAGTTGCAGGCCGTTCCCCACCATTGTACGTAGTCGGTAATACCATTGCCGATGAATTCGCTGGTGAGGGGGCCAAGGTTTGTAGAGTCCCCGAGCACGAGAGGGCCCGAGTGGCTCATGTAGAGTATCAAGCATATTTAGTTCGCATGCGGATCCTGATCAGCACTCTTCAGACCCTTGAGGCTGAGCAGAACCTTTCCCTTAAGGAGCCTCAGCGGGCCCGCGTTAGGCACCCTGGACCCAGGCCCCCTGCTCCGAGGGTTTGTTCATCGTTTTCCACGCAGCACGTGCTTTCGGAAAAAGGTAATTCATGCTTGCAGTGTAAAGGCTCCTCTTCCCAGGCTGCTCGTCGAACCTGGCTGGATTCGCCGTGTTTTACTCTGCGGTCGGTCGATGGCGTTGTATATGATCTCCCCCATGGGCGTCGGGTGCATATATGGGGATGGGCTCATAGTAGTCATCAACTGAAGTTTCACTCTGGGCTGGGAATTTGGTTATGTGGCAGGTGTGGCAGTTTCGCAGCTCAGCAGATTGCGAAGCTCGGAGGTGTGTGCCTCGGACCTGCCACGGGTAATCGAGCTGATCACTTAAGGAACATCTCTGCAGGCAAGTGGCCCAAGGCCTACAGCTCCTCCGAGAAGGCGCGGAGGGCCAGTGCCAAGTTGGGGTCTTAATCTCAGTCAGTCAGTAACCGACACGGTCGCAATATCCGTAACTCCGTAACTCCTCCCTCTTCCTCTCCGCCATTAAAATGGAGCCCAGCGCAAAACCACTCCGACAATTCCATTCCCTTCGCGCACCTCCTGTTTCGTAAGACCAGCAATGGCATCCGACACGAAACACCGCCCCCCCAATTCTGTCTACTCTGGCTGGCAAGCTGAGACGCAAGTGCACTGTCATGCACGTGAATGGCTTCCGTCTTCACCCTCAAGTGCTGCTCGATTGGTTCCGCGCCGCGTAACGACCGCGCGCGCACTTGCTAAAATATGCGGTTGGTATCCCAGGGGTTCCGTTCGGGATCACCAGCGGCCATCGCTCATTGCGTAGCACGATGGAAGCACGCAGAGCGCCAACGAAACGCAGTGTTATGCCGTGCTGGGCCACGCTGTGCTGTGACAGTGTGATGTGCTTCACTATGTTGCAATACTGCGCCGTGCTATGCAATGGTATGGTGGCCAGTGCGATGATTTGCTCGGCTACGCTCTGCTACGCAAAGGTATCCTATGCTGTGTTATGACGAGGCTGTACTATGACGAGGCATGGTTTGGTGTGCTACCAATCGACGCATGGCCGCAAGAACGCGGGTCGAGAACACGGGCTCCGTCGCCGAAGGCCCACGGCCCCACGGAGATATTCAACACTAGGGTTATTCCGAGGCGGAGGGCCCAAGCGCGACGGGCATGAAGTGTACCACTCCATGGCTAGGGTTGTTGTTGAACCTCGTGGGCGTCTGGAGAGAGGGCGTTACCAGCCTCCGTGCCCAGCTGAGGGCGACCAAGCTGGCAGTGGGGATCTTCGACGACGAGCAAGAAGACCCTCCCCCCCCAGACCGGGCCGCCCCAGCACTTCCGCGCGCACCCTGGAGGCGCGCTCCGAGGGGGCCGGGCGGAGCTGCAGTTCGAGCCGGCGCCGCACGGCGTGGGAGGGGCGAGGCAGGACGGGGGCGCGCGCGCACTCGGCTGCCTCTGCTCCTCGCTCTGCGCTGCCCCTCGGCGGCGCCGCCCGAGGGGAGAGCAAGGCGGCCGGAGGCGAGGCGAGGAGCAGCGGCAGCCGTCAGCCGAAAGATCCCCAGCGGCGGGGCCTGGCGCCGACCCGCCCGCCAGCAGGCGCGGTCGGCCCCGAAGGCGCACAGGGCCTTGAGGGCCTGTTGCGGCCGCTGCCCGCCCAGGCAGCGGCGAGGAGGCGCTTCGCGAGGGCGAGGCGACGCCGCGCCCGCGGGGACGCTGGCGGCCGCCGGCGACAGCGTGAGTCGGGGCAGCCCCAGCTCGATGACCGCCAGAACGCGTGCTGGCGCCAACGTGTGCTTGTCCACCGAAGCCCTTCGAGAAAGCCGCAGGCGGTGTGGGAAGAATGGCCAGCACGGGCTGCGTGCCGTCGTCGGGGCCGAAGGGGCAGCACGCTGTTAAGCCAGCGGCGCAGAGGGTCCTCAAGCGCGGGCAGCAGATGGAACTGCTAACTGCGATCGTACACTGTTGACGGCACAGTGTACGAACGAGACGTCGCACACTGTAAAGTGCAAGCGATGAGTGGTGTGCTAGAGGGACTGCAGCCCCAGCGTAGATATGCAGCGGCCAGAAAACTGAGGATGAGACTCAACTTAAAGTGAACTGAAGCGCAAGCAGACTACGGGCAGCACACACACACACACATTGGGCTAATACACCTTCCAAGTATCATAGACCATCGCCCCCAGCGGCACCGAGGCGACGAGCGTGGGGGGTGGGCAAGCAAAGCCAAGCCATCTACGGGTAGTCCGAGCGCGCAAAAGGGTGCCACATTGGCTCTGTGAGCCGGGCGTGACCGCCCGCAACTTCAGGACGAATTGGCACAGTGCTGCCGAGAATCCCTTCCACATCGCAAGCCTCGTGCCAGCTCTGTGCTATGCCATAGTAGTGGATGTCGTCATCTGTGCTGCCAGACTCTGCACCTATTCGTGACGGGGGAGCGTTAAGGGGCGGTGGCTGGATGGGACCGCCTCACGGGGGGAAGACGACCTGGAACCAACGATACGTCGAGGACAGATCGGCGATAGGCCCCCGACAGCACATCCGCTCGTTTCCTCGCTGGGGTGGGTTGTCAGGTCCCTTGAGGCGACGAATGGGCGGTTGGGGATCGACGCCTCCTGCCCTGAGCGCATCCCCTCCTAATGTTAGGTCGGGCCTGTCCCCCGACAGGCGGATTTTGGACGAAACATGAAGTATAGTCAAAACATATTCGAAAATAGCCTAACATAGTCATACAACAAAAAGACCCCTAGCTATTTTGGGGGCTATCTGTGAGCATTCCTCCTGCAGCGGGACAGGCCCGATGTAAGCCTAATGCTGCACCCTGAATTCGACGCGTCCCCCAAAAAACGCCGCCCCGGGGGGGAGGGGGAGATGAGGAGGAGGAGGAGGAGGAGGAGGAGGAGGAGGAGGAGGAGGAGGAGGAGGAGGAGAGGAAGGGAAGGAGGAGGAGGAGGAGGACGACGACGAGGAGGAAGGGGAAGGAGGAGGAGAGGAGGAGGTGGAGGAGGAGGAGGAGGAGGAGAAGGAAATTGCGCCCCCCGAAAAAGTTGAACGCCGTCCCGGGGGCCGCCCGCGGAGGCCAGGTCGGCGGCGGCCGCCGCGCGCAGGGCCGACCAGCGGCCGGGCAGGCGGTCCAGGCGCGCCGCCCAGTTCGCGAGCGCCGTGGACGCCGCCTTGTCGGGAGCGGCCAAAGAGGGGGGCGTCCAAGAGGGGGGGTGCAAGAGGGGGGGGTGGCCCAAGAGGGGGGGGGGGGAGGGGGGTGTCCAAGAGGGGGGTGTCCAGGAGGGGGGGAGGGTGCCCAAGAGGGGGGGGGAGGGGGGTGTCCAAGAGGGGGGTGTCCAAGAGGGGGGTGTCCAGCGTCGACGCCGCCTTGTCGGGAGGGGGGTGTCCAAGAGGGGGGGGGTGCAAATCATGACCGGCGGCACGTGCGCGGCCCAGCGGGGGGGCCGGGGACGTAATGAAACAAGAGGAGGCGCCATGAGATCTGGGGAAACATCATGGCCCCCGCCATGACATCCACCCCCCCCCTAGTCATCACCCCCCTCTTTGCCGCCCCCGACCTTGGGGAGCAGCAGGAGCGCCACCGGGGCGGCGAGGGGGCAGAGCCTGCGGAGGGCAAAGGAAAAACCTGCGCCACGCCTGCAATCTGCGCAGGCACTCCAGGACCGCCCTCTCTCTCTCTCTCGTTTTCAGGCTGTCCCTCCCTCTCTCTCTTTCTCTCTCTCGCCCTCTCTCTCTCTCTCTCTCTCCATCTCTCTCGCTCTCTCTCCCTCACTCTCTCTCTCTCTCGCTTGAATCTAGCGCTATACCTTTACATGTATGCGCACATTCTCTGTTTGCGTGATGTGCCCTCCCACCTCGCCCTGCGCTCTATTAGGGCACATCTGCTCTAAACGTGTCGGAGGTTAGGGGGTGAGATCGCTGTGGAACGGAGGCCCCGAACCGGGAAATCGTTTCGTTTCGTTTCGTTCGTGTCGTGCGTGCGGACGAGGCGACGCTGCGTGGGCGCGCGAGAGGAATGAACCCGCCGTCGCTAGGACGACGTCAAGACAAATGATTGTCCCCCTCCCTCCCGCCCGTCCGCTGGTGGCTCGCGGTGTCCCGTGGTGTCCGCCGTTGCTAGGGCGAAGTCACGACAAATGATTGTCCCCCTCCCTTTCGCCCGTCCGCCGGTGGCTCGCGGTGTCCCGTGGTGCCCGCCGTTGCTAGGGCGAAGTCAAGACAAATGATTCTCCCCCGTCCACCCGTCCGGCGGTGGCTCGCGGTGTCCCGCGGTGTCCCGTGTTGTCCCGTGGTGTCCCGTGGTGTCCCGTTGAGTGAGATCGATCGTGAGATCGATAGTGAGATCGATAGTGAGATCTATAGTGAAATCGGTAGTGAGATCGATGCGGTGCCCCGAGGTGTCCCGCGGTGTCTCAAAAAGTGAGATCGATAGTGAGATCGACAGATGTCCCGTGGTGTCCCGTGGTGTCTCGTTGAATGAGATCGACAGTGAGATCGATAGTGAAATTGAAAGTGAGATCGATGTGGTGCCCCGAGGTGTCCCGTGGTGTCTTATGGTGTCCCGTTGAGTGAGATCGGTAGTGAGATCGACTGTGAGACCGATGGTGGGACCGCCCGCCCAGCGGTGGCTCGCGGTGTCCCGCGGTGTCCCGTGGTGTCCCGTGGTGTCCCGTAGTGTCCCGTTGAGTGAGAGCGATAGTGAGATCGACAAGTGCCCCGTGGTGTCCCGTGGTGTTCCGTTGAATGAAATGTTGGTTCCCCACCCTCCCTCCCCCCCAACAACCTCCTTACCACCCGAAGGGTGGTCGTATAGGTATATGCTGTTACGTACATGTGTACAATCTGCATCGATGCAAGTGAACATGTATCATGTGAGTGTCTCTCTCTCTCTCTCTCTCCCTCTCTTTATGTATGTCATTATCTCTCTCTCTCTCTTTCCCTCTCTCTCTCTCTCTCTCTTTCCATATATATATATAGTCTCATCTATTTGTATAGGGCCGGGGACACCGGAAAAAGCGCCCCCGCCCCCCTACCGAATTTGGGCCACCCCGGGCCTCTCGGGCAACCCTCTGGACGACCCGAGAGAACCTCACGATAGCCCGAAGACGGCCCCAGAAGGCTCCAGGCGTTCTGGCGCGGCGCGCTGCCGAAACAGCCTCAAAGAGCCCCAAGACGGTCCACGACGACCCCAAAGAGGCCGTCATACCCCCAAAAATCGCTCCAAAACGTCCCAAAAGGCCTCCGAGAGCACTCCCAAGAATGCCCCAAGAGGCACTATTCATTGATTTTCAATTGGTCGTTGGTGATTTTTGTTGGGTTTTCCTCTTTTCGGCTTCCCGACGCTCTAAGACGGCGGTCTTCTGGGCGTCCGAAGCCGTCCAAGAGAGCCCAAAGACGGCACAACAGGGTTCCAAGATGGCCTAAGAGAGCCCAATGACGGCCCAAGATGGCCCTAAGACATTCTCCGAAGCATTCCAAATCGTGGCCTGGTCGTTCAGAGAGACCGCGGTTTGAGGCAAGGTGGCCCGAGGACGCCCCCAGAGGCCCCCAGAAGACGCCCAGGAGGCCTGCAGAAGGCCTCAAGGAAGCCTGTAACATTTTTGGAAGCCACCAGAGGCTCTCCAAGGAGGAGCTTCCGCAAAAAGAGCTGAGGAGGATGGGGAGAATGCGCAGCGTATGGGGAGAATGACGAAACATAAACATGGAGGACGGATAACGAGAAACATGATTATAACGGCGATGCCGGAAAAGGTAACACGGCGTTCGCTAATTTGTCGGCTTGACCTTCCTGCCATTCCGCCTGCATACCAAACTTCAAGGACCAATGTGCATGGCCCGAAGCGCCACGGCCGTCTTGTGGTTATATGTATATATATATATATATATATGTATGCATATGTATGTCTGTTTGTGTGTATGTATGCGTGTAGGTATGCGTGTAATTATGTATGTATGCATGTATGTTTGTATGTCTGTCTGTATGTATGTATGTATGTATGTAAGTAAGTATGCATGTATGCATGCATGCATGTATGTGTGTATGCATGTATGCATGCATGCATGCATGCATGCATGTATGTATGTATGTATGTATGTATGTATGTATGTGTGTATGTGTGTATGTGTGTATGTGTGTATGTATGTATGTATGTATGTATGTATGTATGTATGTATGTATGTATGTATGTATGTATGTATGTATCGCTCTCTCCCTCTCTCTCTATGCCCAACTTCGCTCTATCCCCTCTGAAACGTACTCTCTCTACATATATACCTACTCTATACCCTGTCATTCAGACCTCTTCACCCACACTTCGATTGCATATCAGATGTATCACACAAGTCGCGACATATCGCTCTCTATCGTCTCCTTCCTTGTATGTATACATATAATTGTGCCATTACCACTCTTACTCTCTATACCCTCAGGGGTCGATCTACCCTGAATTCTCGAATCTCTATTATTCATGCTCCCTGCTGAAATCTGCTCCCTGCCCTCTAATGTGTCTTCTCTACGCTCCAATACATGTCTGACCCTGGTCGCACACGCCCGGCAGACCTCGAGGACCGAAATACCCCACCGTGCCAGGATCCCTGGACCCGTAGCTGGAACCCGAGAGGCTGGCCGCCCGCCGAGATCGGCCCAGAACCCCAAAACGCGAACCCTGACATCGAAGACGCCTACGGCGAATCACCGCCGCCCCCTGCCCCTTTGGAAGCGCCTCTGTGGCCGACAGCTGGGCCAGAGCTTGGCCAAGCTATCGGGCCAGTTGTTCCCCGAGACGGTTTGGAAAGACTTCGGGGGACGCATGGGGGAGCAAGAAGAGGAGGGGGATGATGAGGAACAAAAAAAGAGGAGGAGGCATCTTCGGCGCCTCTTGGGGCACTCTTGGGGCCTCCCGGGAGCTTTCTGGGGGCCTCTTGGAAGGTTTTTGGAAGCCTTTGGGGGCTTCTTGGAAGCCTCTGTGGCCGTCTTAGGACGTTCCTGGCTTGTCTGATGCCGTCGGAAGTCGTCTTGGGGGCCTGCCTGGGTCGTCTTGGGGCCCTCTTGGGGCAGATCAGGGGTTCTTAGAGGCCATCTTGGGCGTCCTGGAGGCCTCTTGGGCCGTTTTGGGGCCCTCTTGGGGCCGTCTTGGGGGCCTCTTGGGCCGTCACGGGGCCATCTTGGAGGCCTCCTGGGCGATCTTGGGGCGACCTTGGGGGCCTCTTGGGCCGTCTTGGGCCGTCGGAGAGCCGAAAAGGCGCAAATGCCAAAATCCGGAGAAAACCGATGGCAAATCAATGATTGTGGCCAGTTCGGGCCTTCCTGGAGGACCTCTTGGGAGCGCCATCTTGGAGGCCTCTGGGGAGCCTCTTGGGCCCATCTAAGGCCGTCTGGGGTATATCTTGGGCCGTCTTGGAGGCATCTTGGGGCCATCCTAGCCGTCTTGGAGGCCGTCTTTGGCCGTCTTGGAGGCATCTTAGAGGCCATCTTGGCCGTCTTGGAGGCCATCTTGGGCGTCTTGGGGGCCTCTTGGGCCGTCTTGGGGCCCTCTTGGGGCCGTCTTGGGGGCCTCTTGGGCCGTCACGGGGCCATCTTGGAGGCCTCTTGGGCGATCTTGGGGCGACCTTGGGGGCCTCTTGGGCGTCTTGGGCCGTCGGGAAGCCGAAAAGGCGCAAATGCCAAAATCTTCTCTCTCTCTATACATATATATATATACACATATATTGGTGTGTATCTGTATGTATGTATACATATACAGAACAAAAAACGAAGGACAATCAATGACTTTGGCCTCTTCGGGCCCTCCTGGAGGATCTCTTGGGGGCCTCTTGGGCCGTACTGGAAGCCTCTTGGGGGCCTCTGGGGCCGTCTTGGGCCATCTTGATGCCATCTTAGGCCGTCTTGGGTGCATCTTGGCTCGTCTTGGAGGCATCTTGGAGCCATCTTAGCCGTCTTGGAAGCCATCTTGGCCGTCTTGGATGCATATTGGAGGCCATATTGGGCCGACTTGGAGCCAACTGGAGAGAAAAATCCTTGGCAACCGGGTCTGGGCAATCCTCCCGGGACCCCGGCGGCCCCGGCGGGACGGGCCGAAGCCCCAGGGGGAGTTCTTGTGGAACAAAAACCAAAACCAAAACCGAAATAGTCTGGCACGCCAGGCACCCCTGCGATGAATCGACAGGGGGCGACGGATCTGGCCGCTCAGGGAAATCGGCCCAGCCAGCATCGCCTGCTCGGTCACTCTGCAATCGGGCCCCTGCGGTATAAGCGCTGATAGGGGAACTACTCTCTCTCTCTCTCTCTCTCTGCTCACCATTTACCTTATAACGTTTTGTTGTTCTCGCTCTCTCCCTCTCTCTCTCTCGTTCTGTGTATATATGTATGTGCATCGATACATACAACGATAGGTATACACGAGTCTGTGTAACTCTGTGCACGTATGTCTGTAAACATACAAGCATGAACTTCTCTAAACTTTGCAACTCCCCATACACACTCGGTATGTGGTCTCTCTCTCTCTCTCTCCCTACCTCTACACACGTGCATATATATAATATGAATAAATGAGTAGACGTATCAATACTTACGCTGTCAACCCACGTTGCTATCATTGCATATGCTTGTACGCGTGAACTGTTGAAAGTGCTCAATATATAAAGCCCAGATGCTCAATTCTGTGATCTCTCATTTTTACTCTCTACTATATGATGTGTACTCCTCTCTCTTCACTTTCTAGCATGTAACTACGATCGTGGTCGCATAGACCTGGGTACTTGACGGCAACCAAGAATTCGAAAACCCAAGCATCTTAGAACGCTGTGAACTCCTGATCCGGAACAGAGACCCCAGGAACCTGGCCGCCCACCGAAATCGGCCAAGAACCAAGACAAGGAACCTGAGAACCCGTAACCAGGACTCCTGGAACCTGGCCGCCTACAGAAATCAGCGCCGTACCTTCGACTACGCTTTCAATCTCCGCTAGGACCCCTTCAATGCAAGCACTGATTGTGGAATGACCCTAAATTGCCGGAGATCCGCGCGGATTTCTTGGAACGGCGCTGGGCCCCCCTGGCGGCGCAGCCGGCGCCGCTCCTGGCGCGCAGAGCGCGCCAGGGAGGCGGGCCCAGTGCTGATCCAAGCAATCCGCGCGGACCTCCGAAAGTTTATGCTCGTGCCGTGTTTTGTCCCTCCGAGCCTGCCGGCGGTGCTCGCAGGCGGGTGGGGCGAGGGGGATCTTCTGAAGAGGCAGGGGCCCTCACAGAGGGGATCGGTGGCCTCTGGGAGGGCCCCGCAGAAGACGGGAGAATCACTGAGGAAGCCCCCGCCCCCACCCGCGCTACACGGATCCAACACCTCGTGCGCGCCACCGCAGGGAAAGGAATTGAAGGCGCACAGGCTGCGCAGGCAAAAGACGACCCCCTACCGCCACCGCGCGATGAATCCGACCCCCGACGTCGTGACTTTGTTCATGGCGCAGGCCCCAAAGCTCACGACCTCACCACTGGGACCGGCTTTCCGTCGCGGACCATTTCTTGATGGCCACGTGGGGTTGAAAACGGCTGGTAAGGCCCACCGACGGCTGGAGGATCCTCAAAACCGATCCGTGGACCTGACGCAGACCACGCCCCGGCCAGAATGTCGATGCAGATCTGGCCGTGGCCACGACGGAGGCTCAAGGAGGCTCCAACACGCCCAAGAGCCTGGATCATCGACCCTGAGGGGGAACGACAAGGGCGGGACCCGCTCGGGGGGGGAAACATCGATCTTGCAACGGCGATGGCAGATCGGCGACAGGTCACCGATGGCGACACCGCACGCCCTGGGGCGGCGTGGGCCATCAGGCCCCTGTCCGCTTGGGGGTCGATGCCTTCCCAGCCCCCTGAGACTATCGCCCCCCTGACGTTGCCCCTGAATTCGATCCTCGACCCTGGATCTCGCGCCTGGGGGGTCCGGGGGGGGGGGGGGCGGGCACGTGCCGCGGGTTCGTGCCGACCCTGCGACCAGCTCGGCGGATTACAGGGCGAGCGCACCAGCGCCGCGCTCCCCCTCGGCCCCGCGACCTTCGGGGCGGCAGCGGCGGCGAGGCGACGCCGGCAGGATGCGGCAGAGGCGGAGGCAGCGAGGCAACGCCAGCAGGAGCGGGAGGAGGCGACGGCGAAGGGCGCCGTCGACGACGGCGAAGGGCGCCGACTACGACGACGACGGCGACGACGACGACGACAACGACGACGGCGGCGGCGGCGGCGACGACGAAGACGACGACGAAACCCCAGAGGGTCGCATGTGGGCGTTTTTTACTCGGCGTTTCGACATTGGGCGGTAGGGGGGGAGGGGGGGGGTCTGGCTCTGGACCTCTGCGTAGTGCGACTGTTTGCAGCACTGGGTCCTATGAGGGGAGACTCCGCCTGCTGAAACGGGCGCCCAGAACAGCCAAGATCCACTCCAGGGGGGCGGAGGAGGGAGAGGGGGGGGGGGTGCGAGGGCCCGCGCCGATCGGCAAAACAACGAATAAAAAACGACCACTGAAGAGAAGGAGGAGGAGGAGGATAATCATAATAAGAATAAGAGGAGGAGGACGAGGAGGAGACGGAGGAGGAGAAGGATAACAATAACAAAAATAAGAGGAGGAGGAGGAGGAGGAGGAGGAGGAGGAGGAGGAGGAGGATCTTCTCCTCGGCCTCCTGCTTCGCCCCCTCGCCCTCTGCCGAGGGCGGGGCGCCGCCCCGCCGACGAGGCGGCGCAGCCTTCGGCGCCGCCCCGTAGCCTTCGGCGCCGCCCCCCCCCACCCGTCGCGAGGGGGGGAGGGCGCCAGTCGAGACGCGGCGGCGAGGGCACGCGCCCCCGTCGCCGAAGGCCCAGGGCCCCGTGCAGAGAATTGTAGTCACCGGCCTGGCCTGAGGAACGGTGGATCAGAAACGAAGCCCGTTTTTTCCAAGGAGTCACGCAGAAGGAACGATCAATGATACATAGCGCACAAGGAACGATAGGTGATGCAGGCAAGCGCCGAGGGAACGACCGAGCCCCTTCTGAAAAGCCAGTCGGTGTTCCTTACTCAGGCCGCTCACGGTACCCGCATGATCGAGCCACGGGCCCGGACAGGGATCAGGGACTGCGCCCCATCGCCGAAGGCCCAAGGCCGGGTGCAGACACCGTCACGGCGTCTGCGGGGTGAGTTTTTGGGTGCCTCTTTACGGGACGGGAAAACGACCACAGCCACTGCTCTTCTTTTGTTGCCGCCTTCCAGCCAGCAGAAACAGAGCAGTGGGTGTGGTCATTTTCGTTGAGCTTGGCAGACCCCGCGGAATTAGAAAGGCACCACGGTCTTCGCAAATTACATCGGAATTATGCCCCCAGGGCCACGATACGGCCTTCGCAAGCTACACAAGATTCACGCTCTCAGGGCCACGATCCCTCGTCAATTACACTGTATCCGGGTCCCCAGGGCCAGGACCCCCTAGTAAATTACGCTGTGGCCGCTCCCAGGGCCAAGATCCCGAGTAAATTACGCTGTGCCCGCCCCCCCAAGGCCAGGATCCATCGTACATTACGCTGCGTCCGCGCTCCCAGAGCCACGATCCCTCGTTGATTACTTTGTGCCCGCGCCTCCAGGGGCAAGATCCCCAAGAAATTAGATTATGTCCGCCCCCCCCCGAGGCCAGGATACCTCGTCAATTACGCTGCGCCCGCGCTCCCAGGGCCACAATCCATCGCAAATTACGCCGCATCTGCACTCCCAGGGCCACGATCCCTTGCAAATTACTCAGCGTCTGCTTTCCCTGGGCCACGATCCCGTGTAAACTACGCTGCGTCCGCGCTCCCAGGGCCGCGCTCCCTCGTGAATTGCGTTGTGTCCGCGCCCCCGAGGGCCACGAGCCTCAGTAGATCACGCTGTGTTCGCGCTCCCATGGAGTCCGAACTACCTGGCCATCCTGGGGCGCCCACGCCCCTCAAGGTACGGCAACACAAGCGTTTCGCTGGAGACAGCCTCGGGGCTTCGGCGCGCAAGGCGCGCCATCCTCGAGCGGGCACGCAAACAGTATACGTTTTTTCATGTCCCTACAAATCTCAACGCCTCCAACCCTAGTGTTTCAGCGCGGACTCTTCGCAAAACGCACCGCGCCCCCTTTTTCACGAGGGAAAGCGGTGGTCTGCGAACACCGCTATTGACCAAGGACCCGAAAATGGGGGGCGCATTCTCATCGAGCGGGCACGCGCGGAACGCAATTGTTCAAACAAATCAAACTTAACCTCGTCATCTGTCGCAAATAATTTCGCTGGCCCACCTCAAATAAGACCCGGGGGTGAACCAACTAACAGAAAACCCTTCAGAGCGGAGCCCTCTCCGGGAAAAACGACGGGCATTCCAAGGTGGACGGCCGGCACGCGAACAACAGTAGCGCCCCCATCCCAACAAAGTAGGGTTGTTCTTGACCTTCGTGCCGGCTGTACTGACTGTACCACCCTCGTACCAGCTGCACCCCTCATGGACCCGTGCCCTTCGCCGATATGACCAAGGCCCGTGGAGATAGCCAAAACGAGGAACTCTCCAACGCGGAGGGCCCAGACACGACGAACATCGGGGTACCCCTACAGACCGAGGCTGCTCTCTTGACCTCCGTGCCAGCTTTAACCCCCTCAAGCGCCCTGTGCCCGCCCACCTCGAGCGCGCACAGGCCGTCGCCGAGGGTGTACGACTCGCACTCCCCGCCGGCGTCGCCCTCGGCGCACAGCAGCACCCGCCGCATGCGCCGCGGGTCCTCGCGAGGGGGGCCAGCAGTCCCTCGGAGGCCTCCCGGGGCCTTGAGGGGGCCAGCGCCACTCAGCGCCCTCGCCTCGCAGAGCAGGTCGGGGAAGAAGAAAGGCGGCAGGGCTGCATGTGAGCCACGGCCGCAAGGCGCCACCACCACGCGCGCGACGCGACGCACGGCGTGGACGCTCCTGCTCTGTGTGTGTGTTTTGTTTGGGCTGCGTGGCCACGTACGCGCGCCCTCCACATGCAGCCCTGCTCCCTCTCCTCTCGAGCGCGTTTCTTTACTTTCGGCGATAGTGGGCATGATGGGGGGGGAGGGGGCCAGGGGGGGTATAATGTAACGCCTCCCCCCCGCCGTACGCCCGATGCGCACGGCGGCAGTGCCCGGAGCGCACTGGGGAGGGGGGGGGGCGTTACGTTATAGGAGGGGGGGGGGGCCAGGGGCTGTAATGCCCAGTACGCCCTCAGCAATGAAGAAACACGCTCCAGTGGAGCGGAGTGCGAGGTGAAGTGGAGCAGAGCGGAGCAGAGCAGAGCGGAACTCGAAGCGAGGGGAGCGTAAAGGTGCGAGGAGCTCATGTTGTGAGGGAAAAACATGGATTGAAAACGGAGCGAACTGGAGTGCGACGAGGGCGGGGCGCGAAGCGAGAGGAGTGGAGCGAACGGGGCAGGAGAGGGGCCCTCGGCCCGCGCGATCCGCGGGCGCGGTCGGCGATCGCGCCCGGCCGCGCAGCAGGTCCTCGATGAAGAAGTGCAGGTAGTCCGCGCTCAGGTCTGCCAGCGCGGCCCGCACGGCGGCCAGCGGCCCAGGCGCCAGCGGCGGCCACTGCGACAGGTCGCCGAGGGGGGTGGGGCCCAGAGGAGCGGTGGCTCACCCCCCCCCCCCCCCTTCCTGCCCCGGCCTCCCCCCGCCCCCCCGCCTCCCCCTCCTGCATCCCTGGCCTGCTCGCTCTACGCCGTCGGAAGGGGGAGTCGAGAGGGAGGGGGTGGGGAAGCAGCAGCAGCAGCGGGAACAAGAGGGGAGGATTCGGCCGGATTCGGCGGAGGGGCCACACGCGTGGCGAGGAACTGCCTCCGCCCGCTGCCACCAGCCAGAATGCCGGCAGCCTGCACATCCACTCCCCCCCACTCCCGCAAAGAGGCCGCCACCACCGAGAGGGCGATGCCTTCCAATGCGCGGGAGAGGGGGGGCACTGGCCCCAGCAACAAAAAAGACGCGCGTCCTCGAAGCTGGCCTGCTGCATGGACGAGGCCACGCCGTGGGGCGCGCGACCAGCCGAGACAGCAATCCCTTACAGATTCGTCAACAGAGGTCGGCCCCAGGTATGGCCCAAGGATCCCGCCGGGAGCCTGAACCACTGAGACCGCCAACTCCGCTGCCGCCGCCGCGAAAGCCACAAGTGGGCCACGGTAGGACGGGAGAAAATTCCTGCGGATCCTGGAGAGATTATCATGGCCCCTCTTGGTCGGGTCCAGCACGCTCATTGGCGAGGCGGCGTCCATCAGAGGTCGCCCTGAAACCGCAGACCGAGCACAACTCAAGCGGCATGAGTGGCGGGGGGGAACAGTGGATAAACGAAACAATGGCGAGGTGGAGGTGACATGCGCCAAACGGGACCGGAAGACGGAAGGAGCGAGTCAGCAAACTGGATGCACACGCGCACACAGACACACACACACACACACACGCACGCACGCACGCACGCACGCACGCACACACACGCACACACACACGCACGCACACACACACACACACACACACACACACACACACACGCACGCACGCACGCACGCACGCACGCACGCACGCACGCGCGCACGCGCACGCGCGCGCGCACGCTGCACGCACGCACGCACGCACGCACGCACGCACGCACGCACGCACGCACGCACGCACCGACACACACCGACACACACAGACACACGCACGCACGCACGCACGCACGTACGCTCGCGCGCACCCACGCACGCAACACACACACAAACAAACCAACACACACAAACAATAACCACACCCACGCACACACACACACACACACACACACACACGCACGCACACGCACACACACATACACACACGCGCGCCCAATCCCCTCAAGTGGCGAGGCAGGCAGAGGAGAGTCGAGCATGAACGGGCGGGGGACAGCGTCCTTGACGTGCCCGCGGCTCAGAGCGCAGGACCAGGATCGCTCTGAGGAGTTCCACTGGTGCGAGCTCAGTCTCGAGCTCATCAGCCCACCCAGACGCGCTAGCGGATCCTCATGCCGCGGCGCCCCATAATCCGCGCCACTCGCGGCCCCGCCGGGTGATCAAGGTTTCCCTGATTTGGAGAGGGAATGGATAAATGAAGCCAAGAAAAACTATGGGCCGTTTTCCACGGTCGGGCTTTTCGATCAGGGCGATAAGCGAGCCAAACTGCTGGAAGGGACCAGGCCGCTGCCCCTCAAATGCGTCGCAGGAGATCTATTGAGCGCTGCTTCGCTTCAAGGCTACTCTCCTGGACCAGGCGCGGTCCACTTCGTTCCGAGCCTTGGCCCCGCGCATCTGGCCTAGCGGCGGGGGCTTCGTTGAAATGGCCCATGCTTATCGGCGGCAAGCGCCGCGACGCCCGCGCACTTGCGCTGGCCAGCTAACGCATTGCGGAGGGGCGCGCAGGGGCCGCCATCGCCAACCTCGTCGCGGGGAAGCGGGCCAGCTGGCGCGCGGAAAAGTTCGCGGGCAGTGCCGGCGCAGCGATAGAAAAAACGTGTTTAAGTCAGGCTTGCCGCGACGTGGGATGAAACTCGAAGTCGTCGCGGCGCGCCTCTCAAACGCCCGTCGCAACTCGTCGACGAAATCGACCGGCCCATCCGCAGCCGCAGTAGAGATGCCCCTGAATCGCACTGGCCACAATTTGAATGTTTTGTTTTCCTGCCTTGGAAAACGCGGCAGAACATCGCGCGGGCCCAATGGCCGAGGGGGCGCCCGCTGCGAGAGCCGAGCCAGGGTCGCGCGAGACAGGCAGCCCGGGCACGGTCGGGCCGGGGGGGCGCCGCGGGGCCGGCGTCAAGCGGCGCCAACTCGAAGAGAAACTGAACCCGGACAGTAGCCGACCCCCGCCATCGAACAGCCCCGCCAGCCAAACGAGGCCCCTCGACCTGGGCTGCGACCATCGACCGTCGGACTGGGAGGCGCCATCCTGGGAAAATTGGAGAACGCCTCGGGGGCGTGGGCCCAATCGGATATAACTAGTTGCCCGAGGCTAGTGGCACGTCTGAGCTGCCGGGGCGCAGCGGCAGCAGGTCCGCCACAAGCGAGTCGGCCTCGGAGAGAAGTCCAGCGATGGCGCTTGGGGGGCCTCGTCTCGACAGAGAAATGGGCCCGCGGAGCTACCCGCGCTGCAGCGCCCTCAACGAGGAGAGGCTTCCGGCGCATAGCTTTCCATGCGTGGATGGATCTGGGGGCGGATGAGATATCGAAGCCGAGAGCCGCGCGGGAGCCCCGCGGAACTGGGACAGCACCCGCGAAGCGGCAGGCAGACTGAAACACTGTCGAGCACGCATCGTAAACCATCGCGGCCGGTTGAAACGCCCGCGCAAGTGACTGCGACCCCAGGCGCGGGGGCAACGGTCGGGCCGGGGGGCCCCAGCTAGCAAGACTCCTCAATAACCCCGCGTCCAACCTGCCAGTCGCCAACGGCGAAGGCAGGGGCTCTGGCCGAGCTCTGGCGCGCGCCGATGTCTGCCAGCAGCCCAGGGGCGTCGCCGCAAAGCTCGCCACCAGCGTGGAGGCGCACAACTACGATGGCGAGCGAGACGTGCCTGAGACAGAACGTGCACTGCAGCCAATGAGAGGAACCAGCCTCGGACCCTTCGCCAGCTGAAAAAGCGAGGCTCGCGAACCCAAATGTATGTGGGCGGGCTGCGACAAAGGCGCCAGATGAGGCATCGTCTGCTTCCGCTCCGCGCGCCCGCGCGCTGCGACGCGCCGCCCAAGTTTGCGCGGCGCCTTGGCCGCGATAGAAATGCCCTCGTTGACGGCGTTCAACAAGAAGGACAATGTCGGCGTCAGCGCGAGCATTCCAAATGGAAGCTGCGGGCCCACATCCTGAGATGTTAGAGTAAATGAACTCGAGGGCCTTGGAAACAGGAACAGGAACTGGTTGGGCAGCCCCAGGGGAACCTGGGCCAGGAACCTTGTCTGTCGCTCGTGGCCTCGCCCTTGCCGCGTCCGTGGCCTTCGCGGCTTCGCTGAGCCTTGAGCTGATGAGCCTTGAGCTGGTCAGCTCAAGGCTGATCAGCTTTGAGCGCGCTCGGGTCCGATCGGGGAGCCGCTGGCTGGGGCTACTGAGGGCTCGCCGCGCTGCCCGAAAAGCCCGCGGCCCCCGCGGCGGGGGCGCCTGCTGCCGTTTGAAGGGCAGGGCTCGACTTGGGGGCGGGCGGCTCTGTTCCGACACCCGCGGAACCATCTACATCATCGCCAGTCCTCCGCTTCTTGCGAGACCCCCCTCCATTCAGGCACGAAACCCATGCAGATGCTGACCCGCCTATGTCTTGACCGCCGTGCAAAGGCATCTTGATCTTGTCAGCCTAGTCCGATTGGAACTTCTGGAGGTCCGCGCAATCTTGAATGTGAAAAGGCCAGCCCAGATAGGTCAATATCTTGGTTAAAATCCAGTGCCAAGTGGTTTGCCGAGTCCTGAAAAAGAGGCGAACTATTGTTGGCAATAGCTTTGGGCTGCGTCTGCGTGAACACACCAGCTGCCGCAACTCGGGTGGCCTCCTCAAGGGCCTGGTCGGCAGCGAAGTCATTCGCCATGAAATCGTCCAGAGTCTTCATCGCCTGATTATCCAGCTCCGCTCTCTTGCGCAGCGCCTTATCGAGACGGTCTGCAGCTGCCCTGCGCAACTGAGAGGCACGATTCCATGCTGCCTCAACCGACATCGGGGGCGAACCTGGAGCAGCTGGTGCGATAAAGGGGCCAATACTTATGAGCGTCAAAGTGGGAAAGTTGGCCCGCCGCCTGCTTGAGCGCAGTCAAGACCTCACGAGCAAGGGTGATGGCTGACTCCTCCTGCTGCTGAACATCACCGCGCCAGTGCCGGCGCGCATTGGGGTCTTGTTGATTGGGCCAGCGCTGCTCACCACCGATGGCGACATCCTCGCTGGTCTGTTTGTCGCCCTGGGCGTACGAGTCGCGAGATGAAGGTCCCCTGGGCTCGCGGATGCCCTGGCAACCGATGCAGAGCCACTTGCGCCTTGCCAGCAGGTCCACCAGCATCCATTGCCCGCAGGCGCACACGATGTAGCCACCAAGAGGACGTTGACGAGCTTTGCCACCACCACGACCAACCTTGCTCCACGGGTCGTACGCCCAACCCCCATTGTCTTCCGCATCGGGCATCTGGCCATCGCTCCGACGTCCATTCCCTGTGTTTGTTTTTGGTTTCGTGCGTGGTTGTTTCGCCAAATGATCAAGGATGCTCCTCGATGGTCCTCGTCAACAGAAAAATGCACACGTCCGAGCGATGCCAAGGGCATGCTCCTGCAGGAGCTCACAGAAGAGGAACGCACGAGGCGGCAGCGGGCAGCTGCACCGCCGTAGCTGAGCCCGCCCGCGGGCAGGGCGGGCTGTCCACGGTCAGGGTTCAGGCGAACTGACACTCGATCAAACAGAAGCAGGCCGCGGACCAGCGGTATCCACACTGCTCGCTCAAGCCAACCAAGCCTTGAGCCAGGATGACTACGGAGGAGGGGAAAGAGAAGGAGGAGGATGACGAGGATGAAGAGGAGGAGGAGGAGGAGGAGGAGGAGGAGGAGGCGGGGGACCCTCCCCCTTACACATCCCGCGAGCGGCACCTCTGGGCCCCTCCCCCCGGTGGAGCGGCCCCCAGGTACCCAGATCGTAGCCGCGGCCGCGACCTCCGAGCTCTCCTCTTCTTCCTCCTCCTCCTCCTCCTCCTCCTCCTCCTCCTCCCCCTCATCCTCATCCTCCTCATCCCCCTCTTCCTCCTCCTCCTCCTCCTCACCATCCACGTACTCCTCCTCCTCCTCCTCCGAGGAGAAGGAGGAGGAGGAGGAGCAGGAGGAGGAGGAGGATGAAAATGAACGACCAGCGTGAACCCAAGATGCATCAGCGATGCTGCAGAACACCCTCCTGTCCCAAGTTTACTCCCCGTCCGTTTCTGCAGGCACTCTGCCCCACCGCGGGAAGCGCACCTCTTGAAGGACGAGCGCCCCGCGGGCCCGCGCTTCAGAGCGGAGGGGCCTGCTCTGAAGGACACCGCCCGCCCTCCGCCCTCCTTCGAGCTCGAAGGCACGCGAAAAGGGTGGGGGGGTCCAAGCTCTGGGGAGGCTCCCAGCGACAGCCCGCGATTCAAAGGGGGGGGGGCCGCTCTGAAGGGAACCGCCCGCCCTCCTTCGAGCTCGAAGGCACGCGAAAAGTGTGGGGGGTCCCAAGCTCGGGGGGGGCTCCCAACCGCGGGCCCGGTCCGGAAGCCAGGTCCGGAAGAGGATCGCCGTGCGTCCTCCTTGCGGCGGTTCTGTGCGGCTGTGCACCTCGGACACCACAACGAGAGGATGCCGCAGGCGAAAAGCGCCCTGCTGAAAAGGGTGGGGTTCCAAGCTCGGGGCAGGCTCCCAGCCACGGGCCCGGTCCAGAAGAGAATCGCCGTGCATCCCTGCAGCTGCTGTGCGGCGCGCACCTCGGAAACCAAAAAGAGGCGAGGTCGCAGGCGAACAGCGCCGTGCTGAAGAGAACCACCCCCCCATCCATGTGACTGACCATGCGCTCGAGGAACTCCGGCGAGATCTTCATCTTGAAGATGTGCCAAACTCCGTCCGTGCCACAGCTGGCGAATCCTAAAACCAATGTGCACGGCACTGAACCGAGAGCTACAAGTTGAAGACCACAGGCCCTCCATCCGTGCAACTGCTGGCAGCAGGACGAATGGGCGCAGCGTTTATGGTGAGAGCAACATGTTGGAAACCACCAGCCTTGTACCCGTGTAAATTTTGTATAGAGAAAGAAATTGCATAGCGCTAGGGCGATAACCAGATGTTGAAAACCACCAGCTTCAAGATAATCGATTGCAGAACGATCTCAAGCGATACGCTCAGCCCGGCCTACAGACACATCTGGTGGTGCGACCGGGACGCGCGATTTAAAACAAGAGGGATGGAGGAAGAGGAGGAACAGGAGAAACAGGAGCGAGAAGGGACGAGGAGGAGGAGGACGGAGGATTAGGAGGAGAGCAAGGAATGGGAGGAGGGAGGAGGAGGACGAGGAAGGACCAGAGGGAACCCAATCTGCATCAACCATTCTGCAATCCCCCCCCCGTCCCAGGTCCCCTTCTCGAAAATCCTGACAAGTTTTTTTCTTCACTGCGCCACGCGCCCCCGTCAAGTCAGGCGAAAGCTCCGATGTGAGAGCTCCGTTGTGAACAGGAACTGCCTTCCATCCTCCGAGGGAGCATAAAGGGCTGCGACAAGGTGGGCACATCACGTGCGAGGAGATGTCCAGCGGCACACCTGGTTCGAAACGGATCCGCCCTCCATCCGGGCGTACTGGCTACGTGTTGAAGCTTTTGAATTCCAGACAAGAGCCCCATTTAGACCATTTTGAGACAGAGTCGCCTTTCATCCGTAAATCTGGAACTTGAATTTGCAGGAATATGGCTCGAAGGTGTCTCAAACGAGAAGACCATTTTGAAAACGGCGCGCCCTCCATCCGTGAAACTTCTGGACATGCTCAAGACAAGTGTGCGCGCGCAAAGGCGAGATCCCGCTGTTGAGAATCATTCGCCCTCAATCCGCGCGGCTGTTGGAACTGACCAAGAAGAGCATACGCGGCGCCAAAACGAGAGCCCCGATTTTGAAACGGCCCGCCCACCGTCCATGCAGTCGGACATGTAAATAACACGTGTTCGCGTCGCGAAAACGAGAACCCCATTTTGAAAAACATGCGCGTTCCATCCGTAGAACTGCCGGGAATATTCAAGACGAAAGGGCGCGGCACCAAGCGATATCATCATAACCAACACGACACGCCATCCGACCGTGTGACGAATGAGCTGTTGTACACCAGTGTGCGCGGAGCCGAGGCGAGATCACCATTTTTCCAATGGCCCGACACCCAGCCATGCAGATGTGGGAAAGATGGAGTTTGCTTCAAGATCATGAGCGGTGAGGGCGGCTCGGGCGAACCACCCCGGCCCGCCCTGACGACACGTCTGGTGGTGCGACAGGGAGGAGCTACTTACAAGGAGCTGGGATGGAGGAGGAAGAGGAGGAAGAGGAGGAGGAGGAGGAGAAGCCAGATACGCATGAGGAGGAGAAGGAGGAGAGGGAGCAGGAAGAGGGGGAGGCGGAGGAGCAGGACCTGAACAACAGCACTAACATAAACCACAACACTTGTTCGAACATATACGTCTGAGTGCCCCCTCTGGGGAAGGGGCTCATCGGCCTCCTGGGCGCGGAGCTGGAGGCGCAAGGCGCCGTTGCGGCCGCTGCGGGGCTGGCAGAAGCGGGGAAGAAGCGTGAGGCCTCCGCCTCGACATCGCCCAAAGCATCGGGAGGCTCGACCTCCAGAGTCTGGCACCTCCCTCCTCCACCTCGCCAGACGCTACAGCCAGACGGAGCCTGAGCATGGGAGGGGGAAGAGCCGACAGCCCAGGGCGAGAGAAGAAACAGCACATTGCGAATCTGTTTCCTCTCCTGCGGGGAACGGCCAGAGCACGCATGCTTCCATTTCGTCCGCCCAGCGCCGCTTGCGTCTGGCACGCAGGGCTTGGAGGAATGCACAAGACGACCACCACTGCCGCAGTGGTGGCACTTGGGACCGGTGCATGAAGAAAGGCCGTCTGCGCAGTCTATAAACGCACAACTGTGTTAGGTCGGGCCTGTGCCCCTACAGGCGCATTTTGGACGAACGAATAGTCAGAAAATTCCAGAACATGATTGAACAAAATCAACAAATCGTCCCCATACTATTTTTTGACTAGTTTTGAATATTCCTCCTGTAGAGGGACAGGCCCGACTTAATGTTGGCATCAATCAAGTCATGGTTCAAGCGAGGAGGCCTCGAGCAGCGGCCCAGCGGCGGGCAAGCGACACCACGCTCTCTTCGGAGGAGCAGTCGACACTGCCAGAAAAGAGCTCCCCCAATCCCGAGCACTTACCATCGCTCGGGCGCGCACTCCCCGTGCATGTGCTGGTTTTGGTGCGATGTTCCTCGATGATCAAAGGACACTCCTCGATGGTCCTCGCCAGAAAAAATGTACACGTCCGAGCGGTGCAAGAAAACATGAGACAGGTGGTCAGCGGGCAGCTTCACAGAAGGCTCGACATACTCGATCTCTGATAGGTCGCAGTTTAAGCCAGAGCGGCAGCAGCTGACAAGCAATTTTGATCATAGCTTTACTAACACGAACGTGGACATCGATTATTTCCCTGACAACAAGATCAGGATGGGGGAGAAGTTCAGCCCCGCTCTTGGCCGCTAAGTCGGCGTAGTACTTGTTCGTCCGTCTAAAACGTTCCACCTCGCTGGTACTCGGTTCGTCGACCTCCGTGCGAGCCACAACCGCGACCTCTGGTTCGCACAGTCGGAGTAAAGGTTCGCTGGGCCATCGAAGTTCACTCCTGCAGCTGCCGAAGCGAGGATTCCCCTGCCTGCGGTGCCTGTGGGAGGTGGGCAAACGCTGGGCCAAGGCACCAACCCAGAGGTTGGCCATTGTCGGCGTTTCTGGCAGAAGCCCAACCAGACCTAGACAGCTCCTGAATAACCGACTTGAAACAACTGCCGCCTAGAAAAACGTGCCTGGAGAAACGAAAATCGTCAGCTCCCGAGGAGACCAAACCAGTCCCCTAGAAACCTTCCTCGAAGCACTCCACGGCGACGTGCTCCACCCCAGAGCGAGCTCCGATAGCCTCGCCAAGAGCAGGGCGCGAACAGATGAGAGCAGCCTTGTCGAGGGCATTCTGGTTGCCCATCATGGCATCGATGGCATGATGCAACCAGGGCGCCCTGATAAGAATCGACTCGATCACATGCCTCCATCCCCCAATCGCAGACACGTTCGCATCGTCGACGCACGCGTCGAAACTTCGATGTCTGCCGAGTGAAACCTCTTCATCGCACAAGAACGAAATGAGGTCCAAGAACAAAATGGGGCCGCCCGCGCCGCAAAAGCAGCTGGGAATGTTGTCGAACGCGTCGAGAGAGTGAGCGCGAGATAAAGACGCAGCAGCTGAACGGCCGGCAATCGCCCCACAGGTGGCGACCTGGTATCCTGCAACGCGCGGGTTGAACAGCGCCAGAGGAAATTCGTGCCGAATGCGGCGCAGCCTCAGAGTCTCAAGACAAGCCTCTGCAGAGTAGTTGTACATGTTCCAAGGAAGAGAACAAGAGCATCGCCCTGACCGAACGCCAGATCCGGACTTGAACCTCTGCCTTCAAGCCGAGTCCAGGGACCCATCGGCGCCCTCCCGCGGCAAAAATATTCCCGATCGCGAGCGAGAGAGCGGTCTCCGCGCGGGCGCGCGGCGCGCGCGCGCAGCAGCCCCGCGAGCGCGGCCGACGCGCGCGCGAACCGAGCAGCGTCGCCCAGGCGGACTTCGCCAACGCCTGGTCGCCCGAAAGGCCGAACTAGCAGCGCCGCTGGCCGCGGAAGAAGGGGGGAGGGGGGGCGAGAGGCCGCAGAGACTGCAGGAACGCAGCGAGGGGGATAATGAGGGAGGCATTCTCCCGATCGCGAGCGAAAAACCGGTCGCGGTCTCCGCTCGGGCGCGCAGGGCGCGCGCGCGGCAGCCCCGCAGGCGCCGGGGGCCGACGAGCGCGCGAACCGAGCGGCGCCGCTCAGGCGGACTTGGTCAACGCCTGGTCGCAGGAGAGGGCGAACTAGCCAATCCCGGGCCCAAAGACCTCGCGAAGTTACGAGGCCGTGGTGGGCGGCGGCAACAGGGGGTGGACTACTGGAAGGGCTGACATCCGCGTAGATAGCGACAAGGCGAGGCTGGCAGTAACAAAGAAAGCTGTCTGGGCACGCGCTGCCTCGGGGAGGGCACTGGGGGCGACGGGGGCGGCGGCGCCCAGGCCTCGCGCGCCGCCGGCAGACCGCCGGGCGCCAAGCGCGCCTAGCGCCCTCAGCAGATGGCCCCGCGGAGCGCGGAAGTCGCGATGCCCGAGCGGGGCGAGCGGACGGGCGCGGCTCAAAAAACCGAAGACCTCACCCCACATCAGAACAGACGATCTGTCCTGCGCGCAGGGCCGGAGAGGGCAGACGTGCCCCGGGGCCGGCAATGGAGAGGGCGGCAGCGCCTGACGCGCCCAGGTCCGGGCGGTCGCTGGGCAGCGACAAGTCGCAGCAGCGCGCGGACAGCAACTCGCTTGGCCACGCCACTCACAGGAGACCCTGCGCTTGCAGCAGATGCCCCCAGGGTAGCCTCCGCCGTTGCTGAGGTCGACCCTGGCCGAGGCGCGCGGGGGCCCCCGCCGCGCCCGAGCGACCGCGGCGACGCGCGATGGTTCGGACGAACCGCGTCTGTCGCAGGGGACCCTGCGCTTGCGCCAGCGGCCCATGGGTGGCCTCCGCCAGCGCCGCGGGGCGCGGGAGGGGCCCCGCGTGCCCCGAGCGACTGCGGCAGGTCGGGGCGTCTCCGCGCCGCTGGCCGGGGCCCCTACGCGAACGGCAACGGCTCTCCAGACCGCGGCGGGTCGCGATGGCGCGAACGAGCCACGCCGCTCGCAGGGGGCCCTGCGCTCGCAACAGATGTTCGCGGAGCACCCTCCGCCATCGTCGAGGCTGAGCCAGGCAAGGGGGGCGGGAGTGCCCCCGCGTGCCCGAAACGACTGCGGCAGGTCGGGATGGCTCGAACGAGCAGAGGCCCCACGGGTAGCCTCCGCCATCGCCGAGGCCAAATCCCACGGAGATGCGGGAGGACCCCCGCGGGCCCCGATCGACGGCGGCAGGTCGCGGCGGCTCGAGCGAGCCACGCCGCTCGCAGGTGACCCTGCGCGCGCAGCAGAAGCTCCATGGGCAGCCTACGCCATCGCCGAAGCCGAGGCAGGCGGGGGCGCGGGGGGGGGCCCGCGCGCCTCGAGCGACCGCGGCAGGTCGCAATAACTCGAGCGAGCCACGCCGCTCGGCGCGCGCAGCAGCGGCTCTCCAGGCAGCATCAGCAATCGCCGGAGCTGGACCTGGCAGGGGCGCGGGAGGATCCCCGCGCGCCCCGAGCGACCGCAGCGGGTCGCGATTGCCCGGGTGAGGCACCGACGCGACTGCCCCAGGCAGCGCAACAATCGCCGCCTCGCAGCTCGGCGGGGGCGGCCAGGGCGGCGGGCGATCCCCCCGCAAACCGAAAGACCGCAGCTGATCGCGAGGACTCGACAGAGCAGCGCCGCCCGCTGGAGCACCACTCGGGGGCGGAGGGGGGCCCCGCAAGGGCGGGGGCGACGCCGGCTTTGGGCGCGCAGCCCGCAGCAGATCTGCGCAGGTGGGCAGCGCAAGCCCTGCCGCAGCAGGGGCCGCGCAGGGGCTGAGCAGCGGCGGCGGCCGCCCGCCGCAGCGAGGCCGCGGGGCGGTCGCACGCGCCTGACCGCCGCGGCGCGGATCGACGCCCTTTGCAGGCGCAGGGCGGCCCGCTGGCCGGGCGGGATCGCGCTCGGGCGCGGCGGAAGCAGCCGGGGCGCGCTCGCGCGCCCCTCGGTCGCGCGCGCGAGGCCGCGGCGCGCGGCGACTACGGGCCGCCCCCGCCTCGCTTCTGCCCCCCATCGGCGGCGCGCGCAAATCCTTGCGCTGCCAGAACGGCCTCGCTGGAACTGCACTGGCCTTGCAGAAGAATAACAAATCACAACATTCGCAGAATCGCACTTCGGCGCCCGGCCCCCGAAGGCCCCGAAACTGCTGCAACTCACACTGATGGCCGCCAGAGAGAGCTAGTCCATCTCAGGGGAGCCAGGGCCAAATGGCACTGGCAGGCCGGCCAAAACATTACAACAATCTGCGTTGAAGGAAGAAGGAAGACCGCAAGCTGATGCGCCGCGGGCCGCCGGGATCGTTACGCTGGACGCGCCGGCGGCCGAATCGGAAACCGAGTTGGCGGGGCACCCCGCCGAAAGGCGGGAGCGGGGGATGTGGCGACAGCTGCTTGGATTTGGGGATTTGGCACAGCGACCTCGGACGTAGCAGCGGCAAAAGCCCCGCCTCCGCCGTCAGCTGCGCCAGGGCTGGCAGGGGCACGCTCAGGAACAGGGGCCCCGGCGGGTCCGCCACTAGGAACTCCAGCGCTGGGTCCTTGACCCCCAGCACCTCCAGCGGTGGAACCCTCGACCGCCCTGCGACTCTTCTTGGTCAGGCGCACCACCAAGTCCTTGTGCTCTAGTCGAAAGCGCTGGAAATCGGCGCGCGCAGCTCCGAAAACAATATGTTGCCATATTGTTGATGCCCATCTGAAGCTCCTGCTTGCGGGCGCCCAGCTGAGCTCGAACTTCGGGCGTGGCCTCGACGCCCTCAGGGAGGTCCTCCACGAGGTCGTCGAGCAGCGCCTCCTCCATGTTGCAAGCCTCCAGCAGCGCCGAGGGAGACACCTTCCCAGGAGTCTGCGTGGGCTTCGCCTTCTCGGGAGGAATCGCCTGAACACCACGACTGCACTTGCCATCGGCCACGGAAATCTCGTCGAATATGGATGCGCAGTATCTGTTGAGCAGCAGCGTCTTCCCGCCACCTGTCCAACTTTTAAGATTGTTTCGAGCTTTTTCTCCAACAGTTGGATGCGAGTGTATTTGGCGGACCTGGGTTTGGAGCGCGGGCGGGGGCTTTGGCTCCGTCTTCGCCAGGAGATTGTCACGAGCTTGACTGCACCATTGTGATGGCAGTGACGCGAGCGGGTCGAGCTCGGAAGCCTCCAAGCCCACGATGGAGAAGCCCTGGAGATCGCGGGACTGCCCGCTTGCACTTCCTGCGCCACGAGGCTGGAGCCTAAGGGGACGAGGAACACCACGAGCGACGTCAACAGCAGCACCGCCTCGATCCACCGGTGGCCCCTGCCACTGCGATCTGCAGCGCTTGCAGTGCTGCCAGTGGGCCTGCACGCCGCAGCGTCATCCTTCCCTGATGGGAGCCTTGGGAAGGGCGCGGCGGTGCCACGGCGCTGCTCATCGCGACGGGCAAGAACCTGATCTCCCAGGCTGCAAAGGGAGAGTGATCGCTGAACGCCAAACGGCTCGCACGCGCAGCGCCGTTGTGAGGTTCGCACGACCAAGCACAGAACGCCTGTACCAAAACGGTTTGCGACAAAATGGCAACGGAGGCAAGGCACAAAAACAACAACAACAACAACAACAACAATCATTTTACCCGAACGCTCAGTGTTCTCACCAGTGCCAGGGTTTTCATGCGACGCGAGACAATACCCCCACTTCGTGGGGGGGCAGTTCAAGCTCTACCAAATATCCAAACGACTCTTCGCGACCACCCAAACCCAGCTTCCCGCCCTATGACGTTGGGACACTTCACTTCGTGGCGTGCGGACGACCGTGGCTACTACACTGGCGTGGGGTACACACCCACAGAACTTGGTCACTTATTCGGGGCGCGCGTGTGCCCAGCATCCTGCAATTGTGACATACAATACATGACACAGACAGACAGAGAGAGAGACAGAGAGCAGACAGAGAGAGAGACAGAGAGAGCGGAGTTGGTCACATTTTTGGGGCAAGTTCCTGAGATCGTCGTGTTTTTTGTTGGTCTTGCGCGCGCGAATGTCCACTTTACTTTTTTTTGCAAGGGAATATTGATTATGTTAGAACAAGAAAAAGTAGCTCGCGCGAGGTCATGTAACATAAATGTTGAAAAACCATTGGTTTTGTGGGAGTCGGACAGCGCGCGCGGGATGAAATTTGGACATTTTTTTTTGAAAAACCATTGGGTTTTTGATGTTTTTATGTTGAAATCGTTACGAAACCTAAGGTTCTGGAAGGATTTCGTCTTGCGCGCGCGAATGTCCACTTTACCTTATTTTTTGCAAGGGATTATTGAAATTTGATTATGTTAGAACAAGAAAAAGTAGCTCGCGCGAGCTCATGTAACATAAATGTTGAAAAACCATTGGTTTTGTGGGATTCGGACAGCGCGCGCGGAAGGACATTTTGACAATTTGTTCTTAAAAAACCATTGGGTTTTTGATGTTTTTATGTTAAAATCGTTACGAAACCTAAGGTTTTGGAAGGATTTCGTCTTGCGCGCACGATTGTCCACTTTCCCTTTTTTTTTGCAAGGGATTCTTGAAATTTGATCAACTAAGAACCAGAATTTTCATTTTATAGTGTTTTTTGCAAGGGAAAACGAGCGTCAACAAAAAACCGGATCCGGTACTAATCCACTTTTCTGAAGCTTTCGCTAGAAAATGAAGGAAATGAGGCTGCGGCCTAGGTTTTGGAGGGGGGTCGTGCACCAGGGGTCCCAACAATAATTATTCTTTAGAAGTAATAATGTTCAACAACAACAACAACAACAACAACAACAACAACAACAACAACAACAACAACAACAACAAGGAAAAGGAGGAAGAGGAAGTGGAGGAGAAGGAGGACGAGGCCTCGGCAACCCCGCCCGACAGCGTGGCGCCGCAGCAGCGCAGGAACGTGAAGTCTGGGAAACTGAAGCAGGCCGAGTTGCCCTGGGGGCCGAACACCCCGGAGCAGCACAGGCCCCTGTAAGAGGCGCGCCAAGAGGAGCGGGCCCTCGTTTTCCTCCTCCTCCTCCTCCTTTCCCGCCTCCTCTTCCATCCCGATCATCCTTTCCTCCTCTTCCTGCGCCCTCTCCTCCTACTCCTCCTCATCTTACTGCCTCTCCTCTCCTCCTGATCCTCCACCTCTTCCTGATCCTTGTCCTCCTCTTCCTCCTCCACTTGTTGACCCTCCTCCTGATTATCCTCCTCCTGATCCTACTCATCCTACTCCTCGACCTCCTACTGCTCCTCCTCCTCGTCAGCATCATCATCACCATCACCATCACCATTATCATCACCATCAGCAGCAGCATCATCAGCATCATCACCATCATCATTACCATCATCAGCATCATCATCGTTACCATCGCCATCATCATCAGCATCATCATCATCATCATCAGCATCAACATCACCAGCACCATCATCAGCATCATCACCATCATCATTGCGACGCTCAACCAGGCAAAGACATTTTGCGTGTCTCGGCCCAGGCGGGTCGAGCAGGACAGGACGGGCCACGCTCCAAGCTCGGCGGAGGAGAGGGACACGAACGGACGGCACAACACACACAGCACAGACACACACACACAGACACACACACACACACACCACAAACACACCGAACGAGAGAGGAAGAGAGAAACCCCAAACCACCCCGAATGGGATTCTGGCATTAGCCGCAACTAACAATCTGTCAGGGTCGGCTTCATTTCAGCGACTGGATCGTTTGCTCCAATGCTCGGGCAAACAAGTTACAAAAACGAACAGGGTGGGTCTCACCGACACTGGTCCACAATTTGCCCGAGCCTGAATCACGGCCTGGGAGAACCATGTGGCGTTTACCCGAAAAACTGCACTGGCCAGAACGCCCACGGCACGGCCTGGGGAGGTTTACCCGAAAACTGGAATTCCAGACCTGGACCCGAGTGCGCTTTCGCCAGCGGGCTCCGAAGGCACAAAAATGCGCGACGCACTGATGGCTATCGGGCCGCCCCGAGAGGCGGGCGAGTTGAGACGTCTGCCACATCCAGCTGCTACTAGGATTCTCCAGCGCCACAGGCACGTGATTGTTACGGCACGCACGGATCAGGGAAATACATCATTTAAATTGAGAGTTGCCCTTCTCGCAGGCAAGGCGGGCACGGGGGTTAAGATTGAGCAGTCCCCAAAAGTGAGAATGGCTTCTGAGATGGCACCACCTACTATTCGGGGGCCCATGCCGAGCCTGAGACCACGAACAACACGGCGTGCCAATCCAGAGACCGACGACGACGCCCCCCGTGATCCACCCCCTTAACGATCCCCTGGATGCCCGGCCTCTCCAGATCAAACCAAGGGAGCTTTAAACTATCTACGGGCACCGCCCCAAAACCGAGGTTTCGCATCGCTTTTGACATGCCCCCCTGGCCTGAATACAACTCCAGAAAAACATGCTTCCTTGAGGCCTGGGCCGAGGCCAACGCCTTTCTCAAGACTCGACGCACCCTCACTTTCACCTCGCCATCGCTCAGCGACGCCCCACTGGCAGCGCTGGCAGCGGCGGCAGGCCTTCCCGCTCCAGGAAGATGGGCCCCAGCCAGGCGGCGACGCGCCGCCCGAACTCGAGCGTCTGGGCCGGCGCCTTGCGCAGCTCCTCCAGGGCCCTCGCCTCCTTGCCGCGCCGTTTCAGCATCGCGTCGGAGGGCCAGCGCCCCCTCGACTTGACCTCCAGCGCCGAGCGCGCCCTGGTCAGCAGGTCGCGCGCCGCGCCGCCGCGCCGGAACCTGTGGGCGGTCGGCCCCATCTGGCCCAGCCCCAGCGCCTCCGAGGACACCTGCATCTCCACGGACAGGTCGTTGCGGGCGAAGCTCCAGAGCCTGTCCGTCATGCGCTGGCCGCGCCGCTTGAGCACCGCGAGGCACTCGCACAGGTGCCCGACCCCGTCCAGCACGATGCTCTCGTCGAAGGCGCCTACCCTTGTCGGCGCCCCCAGCTCGCTCGGACCCAGCAGCAATGCCCACTGCTGCTGTCCGAACCCAGCGCCCGCCACCGGCGCGACCAGCTGCATGGGCGTCAGCGCATCCATCTCGCCTGGGCGGAGGTAGGCATTGAAGGCCAGCAGCAGCGCCACGGCGTGTTCCAGCAAGCCCCTGGACAGCAGATGCCCAGCCAGCGCCGCTGCAAGAAGCCACGGCACTGGCATCCGCGTTGCTCGCGGCACCACCTTGGTCCAGCCAGCCAGCGCCCCGGTCGCCCTCAGGTCCCCGACTGTGGTCCAGCTAGCCCGCCTGCAGCGCCCAACCCAGGAAGGCTTGGGCTCTCCGCTGGTAGTCCGAGAAGGTCGCCTTGGCCACGGACCTCGACTCCAGGAAGGTCGGCGGGCACAAGCCCGGAAGGGGCGCCGACTCGGGCGATGGCGCGCGGCGCCAGGTCCTCCTTGCGGTCGCCGCAGCAGCCGACGTGATGCCAATGATCTTCATCCAGTCGCCTTGCGGGGCTGCCAGCTCCGTCCTCTCGCGAGCGCGGGACCGCCCGCTCCTTGCTTGCGCCGAAGCTCGGGAACTCTGGCACGGCTGCCAGCGCCCCAGGCCCAGCGCCAGCAGCAGCAGGCCCCGCCTCGGCGGCCTCCCCCTCCAGCTGCGGCTTGAGGTCATACGAGCCTCGGGGCGGGTTATCTGCCGTTTTCCTCTCCGACGGGGCCCAGCGGACACGCGCATGGAGGCGGCGCGCCAAGGTGAGCGCGCTGATCTCACGAAGGATGTCTCGAAGCTGGAAGGCCGACGATCGGCCCTTCCCGGCGGCGAGGGCCAGCCCCAGGTTGTCGACCAAGAGCACAACTCGACGTCCGAAAGATTCCCGATCTCGAAGGGGATGCCGAAGCGAGTTCGAAAGAATGAGCCCCTCCAGCCGCAGTATGTTCGCTGGGCCCCGCCAAGGGAACGACTCGACGACATGTCATGCCTCTGGGACAGTGAAGCTCGCGTCGACCATGTCGAAGGCCCTCGCATGCTCGTCGGCCTGGCGTAAGCTGTCCGGCAGGTCGTCTGCCATCGGCAGCTGCCCCAGCATCGCAGGGGCATCCTCGCCCCCGAAGGCGCGGGCTCGAGCGGCCGTGGCGCCCTGGCGGCACCGCCAATGCTCAGCCGTCCGCCCCCAGCGCGCGATCTCCTCCACGGCTTCCTCGCGCTCGCAGGCTCCGCAGCCCCAGTGCGAGGCGTCGCTGGTCGTGACCTGGCTGTGCCAGCTGGCGTCCGCGTGAGCCGCCATCAGCGGCAGCAAGTTCCTGACGTGCCAGAGCTCCCCCCTCGCGGCCTGCCACAAATCGCCCTCCTCAATGCCCTTGGACTCGATCAAAGGCGCGCGCGGAGCTGATCACCGACAGGGAAGACCGCTGAACCATCATGATCCAGGTCGCATGGCCCGCCACGATCTCGAGCGCGTGCCTTGAGCAGGCACGACGGCCCAAGAGCTCCTAAATAGCCAGACGCAGCCTCCAAACGCGCTCGGTGGATGCCCGCGCCGCATGGCCGCGCCCGTCGAACGAGAGGCCCGCGAAGTCCGTCTGGCACACGGCCCCATCTCCTCGTGGATCGCGAAGCCCTGGCTGGAGAGCGCCTCCGCTACAGCAAGCCCCGCAGTGCCGACGTCCTGCTTCGGCGAGCCCATGACCATGACGTTGTCGACGCACGCGGCGCCGCGCCCAGCGGGCGCCCCAGGCCCGGCGGGCGAGAGGCCTCTCGATCCTCCACGAGGACCTCGGCGCGCTGGCCGCCCCGCGCTAGCCCCTCCTCCGTCACCGGCTGGCAGAGGTGCAGCGCCCCGCTCCAGCCCATCGGCAACGCCGCCAGCACCGGCACCAAGAGCGTCGAAGCGCTGCGACCCTGCAAGCCCACCGCGCCGCCGCGCAGCGCAGGTAGCCTAATGCAGGGCCCCAACTCTGCTGGCACCTCGATGGCGTAGAAGGCGTTGCTGATGCCACCGCTACTGAACCAGACGACGTCGCACTCCTGCGTCTCCAGCTTCGCGAAGGCGGCGGCCGAGGGCAAGCGCGTCGACGGCGGCGGCAAGAAATCGCAGTTCGCCAACCTGGCGTCAAAGGCGATCCTCTGCATCTGGTTCTTTTTCTCGACGAAGAACAAACCCATCGTTGCATTGCTATCGTCAAGCTCCACGGCAGGCACAGGGCGAGCCATGCCGCGACTCACCAGTCCAGTCACGAAATCTCCATGCACTCGGTGATCCCGAAGTGCAGGGTCAAGATGAGGACGTGGAAGTCCGAGCTCAGACCGCAGGCCAGCCGCTGCAGCTGGAGGTCCTCGCATATTGGCCGTCAGATCCCCCGACCAGGTAGGGTGCTCGGCTGGCGGCGCCTCGCCCAAGGAGACGGGCTTCGCTCCCGCGTCCGGCCAGGACGCAGCGTCCATGTTGTAGGCCACGACGGTTGTAGCGCACTCGCCGTACATGGCGGCGCTTCCGCAGAGCTCGCGAAGGCCCCCGCGGCGACGTGCATCAGCAGGACAGGGGCCAACCGAGCAGTAGCTGCGCTCCAGGTGCTCGAGGCGCATCTGCTGCGCAGCGCTCGCGGCACCATCCCCAGCCAAATCGCGTCCAGCAAGTGAGTTAAGGGATTGGATGCCGTCGTTGGCCCAGTCGAGAGCATGGCGACGGCAGCGAGCGCGACGGGCGACGGCACGGCGGCCAGCACCAGTCTGAGAAGGGACAGGGAGAAGAGGCAAGGGGAAGATGTCGCGCTGGCGCACCATCACCTCGCGGCCGAAGATGTGGAAGCCTGCGCGCCCGGGGCCAGGAAGCAGCAGACAGCCCTGATCGGTGGAGTAGTTGTGGAGGTCAGCTGCCCTCCGCCCCGATTCGGCCCCTTGGCCACCTTGGGCTTGGCAAGCTGTCTCTCATCCCGTGCTTTGCGTCTCTCCTTGGCGACGGCGTTCCCCCTCGAGATCTGCTCGCTGATCCAGGTTGAGAGGGCCGGGGCCGCCATGAGCCCTCTCGTCGTCGCCATCCCTGTGAAGTAGTACTCCTCGTCCTGGTGCTCGTTGTTGTCCTTGCGCGTCCCCGGGACGCGATCTCTGTGCCCTTTCTTCACAAAGTTGAAGTTGTCTTGAGACCAACTCCAGGCTGGCAAGGCTCGTGAGGTCCATTTGGTCGTAGCACAGCGCCGTCCGTGTCGAAGATCTTCGAGCACTCGTGATGGGCCGAAACGATTATGTCATCCAGCCCCAGGCGAATAACTGACCTCCACTGGACGCGGTGCCCGAGCGCGCCCCCTCCATTCTCCAGCATGAAGTTCGCCACCCAGTGAGCTGTCCTCGGTCCTGGCACCACCCAGTCGTTCCAGCCGACGGCCCGAAGCAATGCGACCCCCGAAGCGAAAGCCCGATGCCGCTTTCCGTTGATGTCGTACTGCGCCGAGAGCGCACGGCAGTCACCCGAGCCAGCGGCACCATCACTTGCTCCGTCGGCTGCGACGGCCAGCGGCCCAGCACCTGCTCCAGCCAGCGCCGCAGCGAGCCCAGCGGCACCGTCCGCGGCGGCGGCTGCGGGGGCGGGGGCGCCAGCCCCGGCGGCGCCTCCCGCTGCGGCCGGGGGCGCGGCAACCAGCCTGCCTCCAGCTGGGGCCGCGGCGCGGCGCCAGCGGGCGCGCCCAGGGCGGCGGGGGCGGCTCCTGCGCCAAAAGCTCCGACACCACCTCCTCCTGCTGCCCCAGGGCCGGCAGCTGCACCTCCGCCTCCTTCGAGCAGCGCGGCGAGGCCGCCTGCTGGTCCTCCTGCCACGGCAAGCCCGCCGCCGCCCCCCGCGGGCGCTGTCGCACCCCCCGCGCCTGCTCCAGCCGCCCCAGCGCCGCCAACGGCGACCACCGCTCCGCCACCACCAGCTGCAGGACGCGCCGCAGCGACAGCGAGAGCAGCATCATGGCCAGCAAGGAACACCCCGGCCTGATGCGCGAAGGCCTGTAGCTCCGCAGGCGTGAGGGGCACGGCGAAATCGTACACCCTGAACCCTGCTCCGCCGGCGGCTGGCGTGATGTCCCCATCCTCGCGGACGAGCACACTCCCAGGCCCCACGCGGTACCAGTGCCGCACGTCGTCGTTGTCCTCGCTGAACAACTCGACGAAGTGGTCGTGGTCCTGCGAGACTACCGCCGCGTGGACCCTCTCAATCCCAGAGACGGCGACCACGACACGGGCATGTAAGAGAGGCGCCCCTGGCATACCATACTCGACGTACAACTCATCGCCAATGTTCATGCCTTGATCGTAGGCGGTGTCCAGTCGCCGACGAGCTTGCCGCGGCCTCCGGGCACCGTGCGATCAGGAGCACCGCCAGGCGGGGTGGGCTCGAACCGAACCTCCACCGCGAGGACGCCCTCGCGCTTCAGGCCGCAGCAGCGGTCCGCCTGGCCGCGCACGGCGGCCCACAGCCTGGTCCCACAACAAGAAGGTCCCCAGGCCCGGAAAAACCTCGAAGCCCCAGGAGAACTCCGCCTTGGCCAGCTCGGGGCACGCCGGGCAAGGGTCTGGGCACTCCACGAGCGGTGCCGCAGCCACCCAGGACAGGCACCTCTCCAACTCCGCGCACAACTCGCCAGCCAGCGCGGAGGTCGGCGGCGCGGCCGCCGGGCAGCTCCGCGATGGCGGAGCGGGCGCTGGCGCCACGGCTGGCGGCGCGGCGGCCACGGGCCGCGCGGCCGAAGGGCTGGCGGGGCCGCGGCTGGCCGACCACTGCCCGAGCCACGCCGTGCCAACGTGGAACGCCAGGAACACCGCGCCGCGGGCCGCCTGGCGCATCCAGGTCGCGGGCGGGCCTGGCAGCACGCGACCTCCTCCGAAAAAGGCTTGGGCCGAAGCGGTAGCAGATACAAGCACCGCGCGGCCCTCCAACGCTCTGCGATTACTGCTCAAGAGCTCTCCATCATCATCATCATCATCATCATCATCATCATCATCATCATCATCATCATCATCATCATCATCATCATCATCATCATCATCATCATCGTCATCATCATCATAATCATCATCACCAGCAGCAGCAGCAGCAGCAGCATCAGCAGCATCATCATCATTATTACCATCATAATCAGCATCAGCATCATCATCCTCCTCCTCATCATCATCATCATGATCATCATCGTCATCATTATCATCATCATCATCATCAGCATGATCGTCATCAACATCCTCCTCCTCCTCATACCTATGGCCTAGGAGGGGAACAGTGCAGGACGAATGTGTGAATGCCGCGCAATCGCTTGGAAGGTGGAATAGATTTCGCGGTCTTGCACGGCCGCGCAGGAGAGGAGCGCCCGCGCGCCGCGGAAGGAACCTGGCGAGGCAGAGACGTACCAACTCACGCTTCGAGGGCAGGGGAAGGAGGGGAACAGGAACAGGAACGCTCCGAGTCCGCCGGCCGGTCGGCCAGCAAGCCCTTTGCGGACAGCGCGGGTGGGCCGGGGCCCGCTAACTGCTCTTGCTGGACGAGGGCGCGTGTCCCATACGGAGTCGGAGTCGGAGCCGGAGTCGGAGAGATGGCAAGGGACCAAGAGTCGGAGGGAAAATAAGAGCGGGAGGGGAAAGAGAGGGAGGGGAAAGGAGAGAGGGAAGGAATATGGGAAATTGGTTGGTTGGTTGATGGGTGTGAGGGTGTAAGCATGTGGAGGCACGTCTGGACCCCTCCCTGCGGCCGTCTTCGGTGGCGGAGGGGCCGTGAAGAGGTTCTCGGCCCCCTCCATTTGGCAACTGGCGCCGTAAGGTATTGGTGCATTGGTGGGAGAGTGCGACCAGAGCGGGGAAGCTCCACTGTGATGCAGGCCTCAGGCCCCGCTCGCGCCGCCTCCGGCCAAGCTGGTCGTTAGTGTCGCGTCGCTGCTCCCCACTGGGCTGCCCGACGTCTCGCGGATCGTCGCCGCACGATGCACCTCCTGCTCCTTCTCCTCCTCCTCCTCCTCCTCCTCCTCCTCCTCCTCCTCCTCCTCCTCGTCATCATCACCATCATTATCATCGTTATCATCATCTTCATCATCACCACCACCACTACCATCGCCATCATCATCGCCATCACCATCACCATCACCATCACCATCACCATTACCATCACCATGAGAATCACCATCGCCATCGCCATCACCATGACCATCACCAACCTCATCATCACTATCCTCAGCCTCTTCAACCACCTGCTCCTCCTCCTCCTGTTCCTCCTCCTCCTCCTGTTCCTCCTCCTCCTCCCCCTCCTCCTCCTCCTCCTCCTCCTTCTCCTCCTCCTCTTCCGCCTAATAATCCTCATCCTCGTCATCATCATTATCATCATCATGATTGCCATCCGCATTGTCATCGTCATCATCATCGTGATCGACATCAGCAACATCATCATCATCATCATCATCATCATCATCATCATCATCATCATCATCATCATCATCATCACCACCATCATCATCATCATCATCATCATCATCATCATCACCATCACCATCACCATCACCATCAAATTCATCACTGGCATCATCAGCATCATCATCAACATCATAACTATCAGCATCAACATCCTCATTGTTACCATCGTCATCACCATCGTCGTCACCATCACCACTAATACCATCATCACTATCACCACCATCACCGTCACCATCGCCATCACCATCATCATCAGCAGCATCAGCATCATCATCATCATCATCATCATCATCATCATCATCAGCATCACCATTTTTAAACACTCATCGTCATCACCATCATCGCCAATATCATCAGCATCATCAGCATCATGATAATGATCATCATCAACATCATCATCACCACCATCATCATCATCGTCATCATCATCACCATCGTCGAATCTCGAAACCTCGATCCTCCTCGATCCTCGATCGTCCTCCACGATCCTCCTTGCCCTCCTGCCCGTTCCTCGAAGCCAAAAACGGCTGGCCGTCAGCCTGGTGAAGCCAGCCGACCAGCAGCCGGCGGCGGCGTCCGCAGTGGCCCGCGCCCCCGCCGCCGGGCGGGAGGGGGCGGAGGGCGCCATGCGAAGGCAGGAACTGGAGAGGGGGGGGAGAGAGGGGAGGAGCGGAGGAGGAGGAGGAGGAGGAGGAGGAGGAGGAGGAGGAAGAAGGGAGGGAGGAGGAGAGGAGGGAGGAGGAGAGGAAGGGAATATATACGACACCATACTCCAATCGAAAAAACGGACCTATATATATATATATATATATATATATATGAGGATGAGCGAGGAGGAGGAGGAGGAGGAGAGGAGAGGGGGAGGAGGAGGAGGAGGAGTACGAGGAGAAAACGAGGACGAACAGCAGCAGCGAGGAGAAAACGAGGACGAACAGCAGCAGCGGGAGCTGGAGTGGAATGAGCGGGAGGAGCAGGAACAAGTGGAAGGCGGAGCAGGGGACATGAGGGGGCGACAACGATGATAAAACGCTCGGGATCCGAAAATCAGGCCCACGCTGCAGCGGGAACACCATTGTAAAGCACCGAAACCAATCGGTTTGAAAAAACACTTGGATAAAACAATGTTTGGCATCGGGTGTGTCTCTGTGTGTGTCAAAACATAATACGCGGAAGGGGCCGCCTGTCTTCGAGACGGAATCAGGGGAGTGAAGAACATATATTCTGAATGTAAAGTTGTAGAGAGGCAAGCTAGATTTGTAACTGGCTGAGGGGGCACAGACGGTCATCCTTGGGAAAGAAATTATGGTTTGGGTTCGGGCGGAGGGGAATTTATAACTTCGAGTTCGGGAGCCAAGGAAAGGAATAACTCGAACAAAGCTCAGAAATTGCAGGCGGAGATCGGAGAATACGGTTCGATTGGTTTGGCAGAATTGGTAACCAGTTTGCAAAGTGGGAAACATTCAAACCAATTCCAAGTGTTTGAAAACGGGTGGGAATCAAGTTAGGAGCACGTCGAATCCAATCGGGGAGCCCACGGAACATCCAAACGCGCTCCGGATGTTCGGAACTTCTTCGCCGCCGAGCGTTACCCGCACTGTTTCGAGCCTCGAGATGTTATCAACGCTGGACTTGCACTCTGCAAGGGCACGTGCCTGGAACTCGCTCCGAAGATGGATGATCTGAACACGAGGGCCGTGGGCGCCCCCTTCGGCCAGGTACACATCGAGGCGCGCTCGGGCCAAGTCGGGCTTCCTGCACGTCGTTCGTTTCTATTCGTGCTCGTTTCTGCATCGGCGTTACAACAAAATTCGTCATACATTGAGATTGGATCATCTTGCATAAGCAAAGGCAAATCCCGCCCGGTGGGAGTTCTAAAGCCGTGTGATTTTACGTCGGGATGTTAAATTACACCGTTTTAAATATATACCATCATAGTAAGGGATGAAATCCCACTTTTGAAAATCCCGCATCTTTGACCCGACCGCTCTTGACCCAGCCCGCTAGGATTCTGGGGGGAAGGGGGGGCCAGCTCGGCGCGGTCGGGACAGTGGTCAAACTCTGCCCGCCCGCTCACGCGGAAGTAAGACACGAAACCACTGCAATCTTCAAACCCTCACGAAACGTGACGAACTTCTGTAACGGCGTAGTAACCGTGCTCGCTTCTAATTGTTCCTGGCCCCCTAGTGGCCAGGAAGAAGCCCGGGATAGAACGCTTAGAAATGAAAGGACCCTGCCCCCCCCTAATATATATATATATATATAATTTCCGAATACTCAGACATGAACAATGTGTAGGTGCGGTCGGGCCACGTCTGATTTCCTGCTCCTCCAAGGGGGTCCAATCCATCCCTTCCCACTCCGCGGATTGTTCTGCGCCCGCGGACGCGTGACACGGCAGACCAAGAGCTCCCAAACAAAAACGCCCCATCGTAGTGTGAACAACTGGAGAGGGCAGCTGCGCACATAGGGCGAGGGGAAGAAGGAGGATGAGGAGTGGTGGATGGGCTGGAGGACGAACGGGAGGAACGGGAGGACAGCGAAAACGGGCAGCAGCAGCGGGGGCTGGAGTGGAATGTTGGGGAGGAGCAGGAGGACATGGGGAAGGCGGAGCAGGGGACATGACGGGAGCGACAACGATGAAAAACGGCTCGGATCCAGACGCGTGGCCCGCGCTGCGGCGAGAGCGACATTCTGAACGACGGGAGCAGAGCGCCGATCCGAAAATCAGGCCCACGCTGCAGCGGGAAAGCCATTGTGAAACACCGAAAGCATATACTTGTAACACAATGTTTGGAGAAACATATTTGGCGAACGCAACTTGCGACATCCGCTGTATAAAACATAAACGCGTGGAGAGGGCTTCTATCTTCCAGACGGGATCAGGGGAGAGAGGATAATAGTATTCATCGTGTGCAGCTGAGAAGAGGCCAGCTATCTGCGATCGCGTCAACCATGACCTTCTATTCCCACCCATCCCTTCCCACTGCACTGACTGTTCGGTGCCCGCGGATGTGTGTCATGGCAAACATGGGAGTGGAACTCCCAAAGAGAAACCAGTCGTGTTGTACACATTCGGAAAACGGCAGATGCACGCATAGGAGGAAGGGAAGAAGGAGGAGGAGGAGGAGGAGGTGGCGGATGAGCAGGAGGATGAACATAAGGAAAAGGATGTCCCCCCCCCTCCCCAATCGCAGCCCAGGGGCCTCTCGGGTTCTCTTTATCGACGACGCGAAAAAATGGCGGCAACGCCCAGCTCAGCGCGCAATCCTTAAAAGAGGAGAGTGAGAGCAGCACCAGCCAGCAGGAACGACCAGGTGCGGTGCTAAGCCAACGACCCCTCGAACGTCGTCAGGTCGCCCGGCCCGACAACAGAAGGAAAGAGGGGGAGGCGGTCCCAGTGCAACTTCCGTAACCTGCGCCGTGCTTTATCTGATACATGTAAGACGGCGCGACAGACCAGGCCACGAGCATTCGCCCTGTCGCGCCACGCGCTCGGGCAGGGCTGACGGTCAAAGAAAAGAGAGAGAGGCGGCAACGACGGCGAGCTTCGCGGAACCCGCGCTCCAGGAAGCAGCCGCTGAGGCAGGCGGGGGCGGCGGGGGGGGGGGGCGGCAACGCAGGAAGGGCGGGGGCGAGAGAAGCAAGGGGGGCAAGGGGGGCCATGGAGCAGGGGCAGGCAACAAGGCTGGAAGAGAAGCTATCCCCTGGCCAACGCCCAGGCAAGCTGCGCGTTGGGATAGCGCCAACAGTGGGGGCGAATCCGGGCAAGAAACAAATTCTCAGGAGCGATGGCCGCCCCCTCGCGGGAGCATCCCTGGACGAAGAGAAACGCGTCGCACATGCTCGCGCAGAGCAGACGACTGTTCAACAGGGGCGGGGGGGAGGGGGGGGGCGCCAGCGTCGAGCAGTGGAACCAGGGCTCTTCGCTGAAAAACGGGGCTAAACATGGGGCGAGGACTGGGCCGAGCTGTCGAAATTCAGGACAGACACGGTAATGTTCCAGAGAACCCGTCGCCCAATCAGAGTCGCATCGCCAGAAACATCTATCGATTCCACCGTGGAACCTCGCGCCCGCACACACGCGCGCGCACCGCGAGAGAGAACCGAACCTTCAAAATCGCAAGCCCGAGATAACAGGAACAGGCAGCAACGGTTTTGCGAACGCAGTGAACAGTCGCCGATGTTTGCGTAGCCTCCACCCCAGGGATACATCGAATAGACAGCGAAGCGGAAGAGTAGTCGATGGTAGTGCCCTGGGCCGCGCCGCAAGCTTCCGTTGGATCCCCCCAGCCTGGAGGGGCGCACTACATAGGCATATCGTCTCTTCCCAGGAACCGATAACAGAACGAACAACAGTGCGCTGCCACCACGGAGACGCCGTGCGAGCGGGGCGAAAGTCACCATGCAACCAGAGGTCAGTCAGGGGCGCCCGTACTCAAAGACCCGAGGGGCGTGGGCAAGACGAACTTGAGTGGCAGCCCCGACCATCGCAGGGTCAGGCAAGTCAACCGAAGGACCAAGATATTGCACGCGAGTACGCATAACTCGATTGAAGGAGAAACGTGGGGCCGCAATCAGCTCCTGTTGCATGTTACTCTCACAGCGCATGATCGCTCTGGACACCGGGTAGAATTGCGTCACGAACCGCATGCCGAGACAGCGAACGCGACATGCATGCGCATCGACATAGCGAGACCAATCCGAAGGCGACGGGTCTCGATACAACGTTGATGGTACTTACGAAGCGCCGTGTCCCGTGCGCGCTGCCACCCCTCAGGGCCAATCTGAATGCCAAAGTATCGGGCGTGCCGCGCAAGCTTAATATCAGGCGCGCCGAGATGAGCAAGCATACGTGTGATCTGTCGTCTTGCGCGCGCAGTAAGAGACAACCCACGATGCGCCAGAGCGCACTTCCCCAGGTCCAGCCGAAATCCGATCCCAGCATCGAGACGCTGCAAGAGAGGGATGAGCATCGGAATATCGATAACGACATTACTCATACCAGACCAAAGATCACCAGCATGCCCAATCATCTGCCGAGGAAGACGAGAGGCTAGCCGACGCAGACATGGGTCAAGCGCCAGAGCCAATAGCAGCATGCTGGACGGGCCCCCTTTGCCGAACTCCCCGCGACAGACGAATCGCTCGGCGACGTTGCCCCCCAAAGCAAGCGATGCCAGAGTTATCCCGATAGAGCGCGTCGAAGAAACCAGCCACCCCAAGGCGCAGATTCATCATTCGAAGAACGCGCAGAAGCCAAGATACCGCAACACTCGGAAACGCGGCAACGAAGTCCGTAAGAAACCAGCAGGACAGGTCTCCCCCCCCAGCAGGCAGTTCTGAACACCCCAAACTTCTGCTTCTAGAATGTGGTCGGTCATCGAGCGACCAGGGAGACAGGCCTGAGCCTTCGACGCAGTCTCGCGAGCGCGCCGTTCAAGTCTCCACGAGAAAGCAATCGATAGTAACTTACAATCGGCGTCAGACATGGCAAGTGGACGACAGGCATCGGGATAACGAGAAGGGGCGCTAGAGAGATCGGGAGCATGCCCCCCTTTCGCAGGAAAGATCAGTAGCATCTGTCGCTCGCTGCGCGGCAGCCCTGCCCCCGGGCCTCCGCGACGCGAA